GGAGGCCAGGTCAGGATTGTGAGTCCAAGGCTGGACTGGTTTACTAGCAAGTCAAGGTCAGCCCTGGTTACTTAACAAAGACCCTGTCTCAAAAGACAAAACCAAAAGAAAAGGCAGCATGATGGCAGTATTATGTGTTCTCTTATGGTTTCAATTATGAATATAGAATAAGAATAGTCATCTTGTTTTCTACAGCTACATTCAGCTTCAAGGGTACAAGCAGAGTGGATACTTGGATTCAGCCAAGGATGTGGTTTTGGCAAAGGAGTAGTATGCTGAGTGAGAGGCAAGGAAGTCAAAGCTGTATTCAAGAGAATGGTCGTGACTGATGATTGGGTAAGGAGGTTAGTCATCAAGGCAGTGAGAGAGATGGCAGGGTCAGGGTACTGAAGGTCATGGGGAACCCAAATTAATGTTGGTGGCATTTCTGAGGTAATGGGCTAGAAAGATAATGGTTGGAGAGTTGGTATTTTTGGTAATGACACGTGAGTCAATTCTCAAGGAAGGAGCAAGACATAATTGTTGGATTTATTAGGGGAACTGAGAGGTCAAGCTGTTGGCAGGATTATTTAGCTTTTTACTTTTTAGATAGGGACTTGTGATGTAGCCCAGGCTGACCCCAAACCCATGGCAATCCTCCTGTCCTAGCTTCCTGGAGTTGGGAATCACAGGCATGAGCCACCAAGCCTGGCTGGAAGGATTATTAATACAAATGTTTTTCAAATTTAAGCTTACAAGGAAACAGTTAAAACAGATCTCAAGGTCCCATTCTCAGTTTTGGGGGTAGTCTGAGAATTTTCATTTATAAGATCTCTGTTGTTACTGTAGTCCGGGAACCACCCTTAAAAACTATTATGTGTATGTAAGCATTAAGATAGAAACAGTGTTAGCCAGTCATAGGCCTCTAATTCTTGTACGCTTGTAGGAAAAGGCAGGAAGATCTCAAGTTCAAACTCAGACAGGGACCTTCGTAAGACCCTATCTCAAGGGAAACAAAAGGCCGTGGATGTTGGATACAGCTCATGGGAAGGCCCAGAGTTCAATCCCCAGTACCACAAAAACAAACAAGCAAACAAAGGAAATAGTGCTGTAGGCGGACAGTGAAACAAAACTGTCAAGAAACAGAGAAGTGCAACAGCTGGGGCGTGGGTATAACACACAGTGACAAAACATTGAAAGCTGGGTTTTTATGGGGACTGGTTAGAAATTGTGTGGATCAAACAATGTTTGGTTAAAAAATGAGACTAAGGCAAGGCCCAGGCAGACGGTCAAGGGCAAGCATGTTAGTGCCTATTAGTGTGGGATCCTTTATTATATTTTGTGAGCTGGTTTAGCAAATTCCCTGTGAAGGTATTATCTCTGGTAGAACAGATACTGTACTCATCACATGAGTGATCACAATTGTTACTAATTCATGTCCTGGCTGAAATAAAAATCACACTAGTTAGGAAATAGAAAGATGCCCCACAAAGCTATATACTATCTTACATAAGATTAAGGAACTTGACATCTAAAGGGACAATAAATCTTAATAAACTGATAATAAAACTAGTAAGACTGAGAATATAAGAAAAATAATACAGAATGAACTGATGAAATCCCAAGGTGGCTGTGAGTAAAGTGAGGGCACGGACTACAAAAGGGGATCACTGGCTGGCCCAGCTTGTGCTTCTACCGCCTACGGGGCCAAATCATTCAGTGTTTGTCCTCTCAGTTAATGACTTGTTTGGGTATGCGTTTATGCCACGCACCTCAGAAGAAAGCTGGGGGGTAAATGAGATAGTGCAAGCGCTTTGAAAGTGTAAAGAGCTATACAAATATGAAATATTGGAGATAAAATAGCTTGATCTAGAAATCCTGGGAGAAAACTAGGGCAGAAATACTTACATATAGTGATGATTGGGAAAGAAAAGAGAAACTTATTCAAGAATAATGCTGAGCCAGTTGTGGTGGTGTATGTACTCAGGAGACGGAGGTGGGAGGAATGCTGTTAAGTTCAAGTCCAGCCTGAAATACACAGTGGGACGCTGCCTCGAAAACAAAAGCAGCCCCCCCCCAAAAAACACAAACAATGCTGATACACACAGAGCAAATGGTTATATATGTAATGAGAACAGTTTCACATGTCTTGAAATGATGACAGCCTCAACAAAAAGCCTTTGTCGATATTTATGCTGAATTTTCTTCTCTTCATGATGCCTAGTACTGAAAAAAAATGCAGGACCATATGCACTTTTAATGTCCCTGTTTTGTCTTGCAGTGCTGGGAATCAAATCCAGGGCCATGTGCATATTAGGTAAGTCCTCTACTACTGAGACACATCCCCAGCCCAATAATTTAATTTTTGCTAATCTGTTTTTTTTTGTTGTTGTCTTTTTCGTTTTTTTTTTTTATCAGTACCGGGGATCGAACTCACGACCGCCTGCTTGCAAGGCAGGTGCTTATGCCGCTGAGCTAAATCCCCAGCCCTAATAATTTAATTTTTAATATGGCATGAAAGGGACCGCATGGTAACTACCTCCTGCACCCAGGGGTTCAGTTACACTTCTGTTCTTTCAGAGCCTCCAGTAGGCAGGACAGATTTAACAGATTTTGCAAAGGCGGTTTCACCTGCCCAATGAACCTTATTCTATTCTTCTTGGCTCTATTCCCCTCACTTACTGTAAATACTCTCTCCTCTGATAATTCCTCTTGAACTTCATTCTCCAACTTGGGTAGCTTTTTGGAGCATTATCTTCCTTCTCTCCCCCCACTCCATTACCACACCATACTAAATTCTAAACAGCAGTTTTGTTCATATTTTAGCAATTTAAGCAGTGCCTAGAAACTGAGGTGCACAATTAACATGTGAGTGATACTGAAGATGCCAATGGCAATACTTGGCAACCACAAGTTCAGGGAAGGCCTAAGTAGTTCTCTACCAGGACACAAGGCATGTGGACTGGAGGGCAAAAGAAATGAGCCCAGAGAAGTCAAGTGGCCACTTCAAGGAGTCCATTGCTATTTTAACCTAAGGAAATTCTCTACACGTATTATTAATCTCAGGGGAGATCAGAGGTGTGCTGTTGGGCAGAGGAGGAAGTTGCAATGAAGTGAGTAGTAAATATTTACTATGAAGACTTTTCCGGTGATTGTAGGGTTCAAAAAAGTAACATTTCATATGAGTAAGTCATTTAGGCCTTTAGACATTTTTTTTTTTAGGCAGGGTCTCGCTATACAATTCAGGCCGGTCTCGAGCTCACTTTGTAGCTCAGGCTGGTCTCGAACTTGCAAAGATCTTCCTGCCTCAGCCTCCCCTCTGGGATCACAGGTGTGCGTTACCATGTCTGGCAGCCTTTGGACATTTTAACCAGCTGATTTTCTTGGCTTTTTCCTGACTAACTGCAGTACTCAGACACTGAAACAGAGAAACTCGCAGATCATCATCACGGTACTAAAGCTCTTTGCAATCTTTTGCTCTGCACATTTTAGGTTACTGAATATGTTTTAAAGTTTCAATTTTGAGCACCTGAGTTTGTTACAGAAATAGTAAGTTGAGCATTATGTCACGTTTCAGTAGAGTAGCTAGTTATAATACACACCTGTAATCCCAGGACTCAAGGGATTGAGGCAGTAGTATTGAGTTCAAGGCCAGCTAGAATATACAGTGAGACCCTGTCTTAAAAAACCAAAAACAAATCCCAACTCCCTCCAAAAATGCAGTGACTAAATTTAGGGTTCACGGGATAAAGAATCAAAACTATTACAGAATTAATAACATGAGGTAAGCCTTGTATCTTTTTTTTTTTGGTACCGGGATCGAACTTAATTACCTTGCACTTGCCAGGCAGATGCCCATGCCACTGAGCTAAATCCTCAGCCCTGAGCCATGTTTTTGTAATAAATATGCAACCATCTTTTGGTTATCAACTGGTATTGCCTGATTTGCTGGGTCTGGTGGTGCACATCTCTAATCACAGCACTCTAGCAGGCTGACACTGAAGAACTCAAAGTTCAAGCACAGCCTGGGCAACTTTAGTGAGACCTCCTCTCAAACCAAACCAAACCAAACCTGCTGCGGGTATGACTCAGTGACCCTCGATTCAATCCCTAGTACCACCACAAAGCCACCAAAGGAAAAAAAAAAAAAAAAGGAAAAAAAGTTATGTAATAAAACCACCTTCGTACCCTCTTCTTTCGTCTTTTGAGGGGCAGAAAAATACTTTAGTTGACAAGTACAAAAAAAAAAAAAAAAACAAAAAAAAAAACAACCAAATGAAACCAAGACAAGTAACTTCACAATATATAGACACAGCAGCTTTCTGTGATTACTGGGTCTTTCTCTGATTACTGCAAAGAGAAACAATCTGATTTTATTTTTGTGACTACTAACATAATTTTTTAAGACAGTGTCTCATGGTCTCATGTTGCTGAGATAGGTTACAAACTCCTGGTACTTTGAGTATCTGCCACCATGCTCAAATTTTACCAGTATGATTGGGGTTGGGGAGGATGGGGATTGAACTCACAGCCTCCTGCTAGCAAGGCAGGCGCTTATGCCACTGAGCTAAATCCCTAGCCTCACCAATATGATTTAATTATATTACTCTAGCCTGTGTTATTACTACTTCTTATACACGTTTTAGTTATCATTCTCTTTGCATTTTTGTTCTTTAGAGAGGGCCTCACTATGTAGATTAGCTTGGCTTTGAACTCAAAGGGACTCTTCTGTTTCAGCCTCCCCTGTGCTAGGATCATAGGGGTGCACCATCACTCCCAGCTCCTGGCATGTTGCTTAAGGCCTTTCCCCCAATTTTTCAGAAATACACTTTAAATCTTCCAATCAACATGTTATCTTCACATATTTACATATCAGATTGGTATATTTACATATATCTTCCAATTTCAGACAAAACAAACTTGCATTTAGAGTTGTATTAAAGTTATCAAAGCCAAAGAGAATCCACTTTGGTACCCAGAACTGTGACCATACATGTAGCATTTCACAGAGAAAACACTGATAGTTGACACATCTTATTTTATTCAAATAGCAGATAACTCTGATCAGATATTAAAGACACTCAAACATCATAGCCAACGATGCCACGCTTGCCTATGATCTCTCCGATATAAAACCACATCCACACTTCAGTGGCCACCAAACCATTCAGCACAGCTTCCTGGAAAAAAAAAAAAGTACAAACTTTAAGGTAACTTTTTTTTGTACTGGGAATTGAACTCAGAACCTTGCATTTGCCAGGCAGGCACTATGCACTGAGCTATATCCCCAGCCTCACTATATTTTAAATTATGAGAATCCTTGAACTTTCAATTTTGTAAGGTAAGTAGTCTAGAGCTTATAAAGTTTTTTAAAGCATTCTTTATCGGCCTGAACGGTCTTAACCCTTTCATTACTAGCTTATGAGACACTCTCTTTATAGGTCCTAAACCAACCCACATCCTGGAAATAGCTGACACTTTTAGACAGCGCATTCACACAAAAGGATGGCTAGAGGAAGGCCAAGAATCTGAACAGACAATGCTGTCTGGCCATAGACAATCTGCTTCAAGATGAGGGCTCTTCTTTACACTTCAGTTTTAGTTACATCATTTGGCTTAATTCTAAGTACTCAGTACTCAGTTTCATAACTGCATGAATTTTATTCCCCCAAGGAAAAACAAACAGTTACAGAAAACACAGTTTCATCAAAGCACAAATATGGACCTTAAAACTCTGAAGAAACATCATTCTAAAGCAAAACGGGACCTTTTCCTTTCAGCACTGCTGGAAGTGAATTTTCCCCTTCAAATCAGACCACAAGTTATTTTTTCCTGAAAAATAACTGTATTTCCCAGGACAAAGGTTCTATAATCAGCAAATACTAGTTACTTAGGCTTTTTGTATCCTCTGCTTAAATCAAGTAAATATAAAACTGAAGTTCATTCTTATGTTCTTTAAGCTTTAATTAACCTGACAACCCAGCTTTCATTTTTATCCTCAATGTGTTAGTGTCCTAGTATAGTTTGACAGTTCCAAACAAACAACAAAACCTCCCCAAGTTTATCATGTACAGATAAAAATTCTCTATGGTGTATGTGATCATTATGTATATCTAAAATGTACCAATAAAATCTGATTACAAAAAGAAGAAATAAAACTGGGCGTGGTGGCTCATGCCTGTAATCCTAGCACTTGGGAGGCTGAGGCAGGAAGACTGTTGAGAATTCAAGACCAGCCTGGGTTACAAAGCAGATTAAGGACAGTCTGAACTGCATAGAGAGACTCTGTCTCAAAAAAAAAAAAAAAAAAAAGAAAAAGAAAAAAATATTTCAGAGTTCTTTTGGCTGAATGTAGTCCAGGCTTCAACTTGCAGCGATCCTCCTGCCTCAGTTTCCTCAGTGCTGGGATTATAGGTGCGTGCCGCCACACCTAGCATGTATTTTTCTATCGTAGCCAAAACTGGGGAAAAAGACAAAAGTTTTCTACTTTTTAAGAGTGCTTTCATCGGGACGTGGTGGCACACTCCTGTAATCCTAGCCCTTAGGAGGCTGAGGCAGGACAGATCATTGCAAATTCAAGACCAGGCCGGCTACAAAGTGAGCCCACAGCCAGCCTGAACTGTACAGTGAGACCCTCGGCCTCACAGTGGCCTCGAAAAGCCAAAAAACAAGCAAATAATAATAATAATAATAAAATGTTTTCTTGCTATTGTATACAACTACTAGGGCTGGGTCCTGTAGTACATGCCTATAATCCCCGCATACAAGAGGATAAGGGAGGAGGATTGTCCTGAGTTCAAAGCCAGCCTGGGCTACACAGGGAGTTCAAGGCCATCCTGAATACACAACGAGACCCTGTCTCAAAAAACTGAAAACAGGCTGTGCTTGGAGGCGCATACCTGCAATCCCTGGGGTGGCTGAAGCAGAAGGACTGCTGTGAGCTGAGGCCAGCCTGGGCCACACAAGGGAGTTCAAGGCCAGCCCATTCTACACTGTGAGACCATCTCTAAACCATCCCAACCCAACTCAAGCAACAAAAAGCTGAAAACAAAACTACTAGGAAACTGAGACATACAATAGCTGAAGTACTTGTATCCAGAAGACAAAATTAGAAAAGTAGGTAACTATTTTCCTTTATAGTAAAAAAGATATCTCTCGTTATTTTGGATTCAGTCTCGTTGGAAAAACACATTAATCAAAATAATCAGAAGAACCTAAGGAAGACCTTTTCTGTTATGCACACACGTTTTCATTTAGCCCATAGTTACCTTAACTGTGAGCTGTTTGAAGCTACCAGTTTTAGCACTATTGACTATTTTTTTCAGGCTCTGCATAGCTGCAGGGATCTCAGCAGGGGTTGGAGGAACCAGCTCAACCTTGGCATAGTACCAAAATGTGGCCAATCGAGGCTTCGAGTAAGTCACAGCAGCTGGAAAACAAAACAAAACAAAACAAAATACCAGGATGAACTCACTAGAGACAGAAAGAAGCAGATGTGTGGGCTGGACGCAAATATTTATTCATGCATCACATTCATTCACTGCTTGTACCAAATGTGCACCCGGTGTGAAAAGTCAAAGCTGCGCCTGGGTAACAAGAGGCTTTTAAAGATGCAGAACACCTGTGTCACAGGGAAGTTCAATCAGGCAGGAAGCTATAAGCACATTCAATTATGCTAGGATTTTACCAGTGGCCAGCTAGTGCTGTTACTCCACTTATGAATGGTAAATTTAATTAACTGTAAAGTTACCAGCCATCAGAGTCAAAAGCAAGAAAACCAGCAATTTATTCACATTTTCTTAGTACAGAGATGAGAAAATATGGAAATAAGTCTAAAAGAAGGAAAGAGCTATGCAGAATGGCACCCTTAAGTATAAGATTAAGGGGCTGGGGATTTAGCTCAGTGGTACAAGCTCCTGCCTGGCAAGTGCAACGTTTTGAGTTCAATCCCCAGTACACACACAAAAAAAAAAAAAAAAAAAAAAAGAAAGAAAGAAAGAAAGAAAGAAAGAAAGAAAGAATAATATTAAAACTTATTAGAGGACTGGGGATTTAGTTCAGTGGCATACGCACCTGCCTGGCAAGTGCAAGGTTGTGAGTTAGATCCCCAGCACCAAAAAAAAAAAAAAAAAAAAAAAAAACCCAAAAAACCCAAAAAACCCCAACAAAACTTATTAGAACACCAGCCACAAATCCAGATAGAACTACAATTAGTGTCCACTTCTGGTACTGTCATCAACATGTGCTGTTTCTCTAACAAAAGCACAGCTGCTCAAAACAAAACAAGCAAGCCCCCAACAACAACAAAAAAACCCAACCCCCCCAAAACCTCACAAAAACAAATTAAAACATCACAAAATAAAATTCGAATACTGTTAAACTGAAATATTTCAAGATATTTACTATTTCAAGAAGAGATCCCTAATAACCATAATAGATATGACACTATGGTAATGACTTCAGCAAGAGGAAGAAATTTATTATAAAAAACACAAAACAGACAATAATAATAGCTTAAAGGCTAGGAAAAAGCTACAAGCTTGAAAGTATTGGCTTGGGCTGGCTTTAGCCCAGCAGTTCCTTCGAGTCTGGCTTCCCAACCGCCCAGGCCGATTGGCCCGCTGGTTCGAGACCCACGGGCGCTCTCCAGTCCTTTAAAAAAAAAAAAAAAAAAAAGAAAGTATTGGCTTGACTTCAACACTGGGAAAGACAAAAAAAGTAACTGCATGAAGGCCGGGCATGGTGGCTCACACCTGTAATCCCAGCACTCTGGAGGCTGAGGCAGGAGGATTGTTGTGAGTTCGAGACCAGCCTGGGCTACAAAGTGAGCTCAAGGCCAGCCTGAACTGCATAGCAAGACCCTGTCTCAAAAAGACACAAAACAAACAAAAAAAGAAATGTAGCTGCATGAATATTCACCAAGTGTGTACTGTTCAGAGGTGGATTAGCCAAGGCTTTTGGTGCTTTTGCTGTTAACTGTCCATACTTGGATACCTCACTATTCTCAGATCACCATCTTCTTCATCTTTTGTATTTGGGGCAATGGTGCAAAATTCTAAATAGATACAAAACCTTAGGTGATTATTCTAAATACAATCGGTGATGCAGGTAAAAATACTACGTTTGTAAGAACAACTGTCTTAAAAATCATCTTCAACACAGATGTCATCCTAAAAGCAAGAAAGAAGCCGGGCAGGGTGGTGCATACCTGTAATGCTAGCACTCTGAAGGTCTAGGCAGGAGGACTGCTAAGTTCAAGCCTAGCCTGGGCAAGTTGGTGACAGTGAGGCCTCATTTCAAAATGAAAAGGGTAAGAACGCAGCTTTGTCCAAAGGTCTCGAGTTCAAACCCCAGCATCAAAAACCCCTCAAAACCAACCAGGGTGTAGTGTTTGCCTACCATGCACAATCCTCTGAGTTTGAGTCCTATCATCTTAAAAAAAACAAAGACCCCCAAAACCCAATACTATTTCTACTTTATTTGTTGAATTGTTTTTAGGGGCACAGGTTAGTAAGTTTGAAATTGCTTACATGTAAGAGGGATGAACAAAACATAAATGGTGGATGGTGGGTGCCGAGTTTCTCATTTTGAGAGGGAAGTTAGAGATAAACTAGCAATAGTAGCTGTGGGTCATATGTGTGTAGGCCTAGCTAACTGGAGGCAGAGTCAGGGGAATATCATGAGCTCAGTTCAGGGGCAGCCTCGGTAACACAGTAAGACTGCATCTCCATGTAAAAAGAAAATCCATTTAGAGGTTATTTGGGGCATCTGCTGTCTCAGTGGTATATTATGTGCTTAGCCCATGCAAGATCCTGTGTTCAAGCTCCAGCACCAAAAAAATAAACCTGGACTACAGTTAGAGACATTGATATGAACTCATGCTTAGCTTAACATATACACAGACAAATACACTGGAAATGATCATGCGTAACATGGGTTATGCATGGGTATATGTGTATGCTCTCCCCCCGCCAATGTTTATCTGTATTCCTTGCTCATGGAGAAGACCTAGAAGCAATGATATTTGAGTAGCAGAAAACAAATGATCTAGATTATTGTTTCTAACTTCCACTGTCCAGTAAAAGGAGCGAGTCTTCTTTGAAGACAAGGCCTGCTTTAGCTGGGCAGAAAAAACATGAATCTGCATATACTACCAGAAAGTAATGGGTCACGTCAAAGGGACAGAGTGTCAACCAAAAACTGTTCCTTACGGCCGAGTCTGTAACAATTTGAGCAATGAAGAACAGAGCACTGCTATTCAAAGTTTGGAATAAATGTAAATGAGTCATTATAATAAATGACTGAATACATGGATGAAGAAGCAAGTCTTTCTTACAGAACTCTATTTATCATACACAGAACCTCCTTTCTTCCTTCCAGACAAGGTCTCAATATGCAGTTCAGGGTAGTCTGCCCCTGCTTCCCAATCCTCTTGCCTCAGCCTCCCGTATGCATCACTATGATCAGCTAGAAATCCCTTTATACAGATGGATCTGCTTCCACTTGGGCTGCCTACATGCCTATGGACTACACATAGTTACCTGCTTCTAAAGAAAAGATATGGAGGGCCCGGGGTTTAGCTCAGCAGCACAAGCGCCTGCTGGGCAGGTGCGAGGTCCTGAGTCTGATCCCCGAAACAAAAACAAACAAAAGATACACGGAGGAGGCCTGAGTCAGGAAAGTCACTGGGGGAATAGCAGACTTCCCGGAGAAGGGTTCAGGGACGGATGTGGAAAGTGAAACCAGCAAGAGAGGGTCTGGCCTAAGTGTCAAGCTGAGTATTCAATAAAACTCAAGGAAGTGGGCAGAAGCCATGCTGGGTCTGGGAGGAGTATAACCAGAAGCCAATTCATGCTTCCCGTGAGCCACAAAGTCCACACGGGGCCCAGGAGGAGACACAAGCCAGTTCACTCTTCCCGTGAGCTAACTGGTGCTGAGAATCAAGAACACCCCCAGCATCACAAGCAATTGCTGAGTTGGAGCTGACAGCAACTGAGGTACAAGAACAACTTAATATCTGTATTGTTTGATTGACTTTGCAGGCCTAAGGCTGGTAGTCTGAGCATCTATTGAGAGGATTAACAGTATGCAACACAGCATAGATGGGGTGTTTCCTTCTGTCTTGTTTCTGAAATACACTATTGTTCTGTTTTGACTGCTTTTATTCTGTTCTATTTATTTGATCTTACTATGCTGGTAGTATGGGCTGGTAGTACTATGCTGGGTAGTATGGGTAGTATTTTTTTTTTTTTTTTTTTTTTGGTACTGGGTATCATGATCTCATACTGCCAGGCAGGTACTTACTCCACTGAGCTAAATCCCTGGCCCCGGGCAGCAATTCTAAACATGGCAGGAGGCATTGTGGTAGCGACTGTTGATTCCCCATCGTCCCGTATCACTCTTGCTGTTTGTTTTGATTGGTTTTATTCTATTTTATTTTATTAGGCTTTATTCTTTTTAAAAAGAAGAACAGATATGGAATGGGGAAAAGATGATTTTACTGTGGAAAAACCTATTAAACACTGTCTTAACCAAGCAATGAAACTTGTATCATCAGTAATGTTAAATGGATATCATTTACCTCCTGATATGCCTCTAGGGCACCTCATCTCTGTGGAATGTTCTCAAAATCTAATTGTTCCAGACTAATCACAAGAGAAACAGATAAATTCAGATTGAAGAATATTTTTCAGAATATCTAGAAAGATATCTCAAGAAAGTTAAAGTCATAAAAGATAAAGAATTGGCCAGCGATATAGCTCAGCGGCACAGTATGCACAGTATCCAACTCAGGATTCCTGGTACAAAAAAAAAAAAAAAAAAAAAAGAATTGAAATCATCACTAATCAGAGGAGACTGAGAGATATGACAACGTAATGAAATGTGATGTCATCCGTTGTATCCTGGGATTGAAAGTGATTAAAGAAAAAAATTGGTGAAATTGAAGTAAATTGTACAGTTTAGAGGGGCTGGAGATTTAGCTCAGCGGCATAAGCGCCTGCCTTAAAAGCAGGCAGTCGTGAGTTCGATCCCCGGTACCGATAAAAAGGAACAAGGAAAAAGACAAAAAAAAAAAAAAAAAATTGTACAGTTTAGGTAAGGGGGAAAATCAGACTCTGTCATAATTTGATAAAATTACTTGTTTCTATAAGTGTTTTGTCCTCCAGGGAATGGACAGACATAACTGGTAATTTATCAAACATTTAATATTCACATTTAATACACAGGTATATGATACAAAGGAAAGTATGTTTCTGTTTTAATATTCTGGTCCCATCTGAGTCTTCTTTTCTGGGTACTTCTGGATGGGTAAAAAAAAATTACTTTGACATTATTTTCCTTTCTGGATTTTATCACAAACTAGTTTTCAGTTCCCTAACAAGAATAGTGATGGCAAACCTTTTAGAGCTTTCTGGAATACAAATAGCCTGCTGTGGCACACGTGCCATAGGTTTGCCACCAACTTAGAAGATGTGAAAACTATGGTAGAACAAAAATCCACTTGAAATACTCAAAACTGCCTCAAATCATCCAGCTTGATGATCAAGCCTTCTCCTTGATTCAATAACCTTAGCAAGGTGAAAGTTCCAAATGTGAGATCCCTTGTGGGACTGTCTGTATACTAGACTGTCATGAGTTAATGGGTAAACTGTCTCTTTACTAGATCTAGAGGGCCGAGAGACCCGACCTTCCATAAGAGGAGGGAATCAAGCATCAAGAGTATATGACATGTAAGGTCTTCAATATTTTGTTTGCCTGATGATGGAGGAAAAGAGGAGGGAATTAATTTTAAAAATATCAAATACAGTAAAATATGCTCAAAAACATCACATGTACTTTTTGAAACTTAGCTTTCTATTCATATTTCACAATCAAATCTGAATGAAAGCAATTTAGAGATCTGACCTTTAAGCATTTAGTATAATATACCACATCTGGCCAGATGTGGGAGCACATGCCTGTGATCCCAGCATTCTGGAGGCTGAGGCAGGAGGATCATTGTGTTTGAGGCTAGCCTGAGCTATGTAGGGAGGATTTCTCAAAAATCAAACAAACAAACCTACTGATCACAAAACCCCATCCAGTGATGAAACATATCAATTTATCTTCTTTCAAAAAGAAAATTGGTAACTTACTATTCAGAAGGCAAATATTTATTGACAGAACAGATCATTGCACAGGCCTGACTATTCAGGACTGTTCTGCAATCATTGAACTCAACGACCTCATACTTGCCAGGCAGGTGTGTAGTGCTGAGCTAAATCTCTGGCCCTTCGGGGCTATTCTAAAATAGAGTGCCTACCAGTGAGAGTCTTCAAACTGGAAAAAAAAAATTCGTGTATGTTAAGCTATGCTAAGATTTCAGTTTATCTGATTTTTTTTTTTTTTTTTTTTTTTTTTTTGGATAGAGGGTCTCGCTGTTCAGGCTGGTCTAACTTTTTTTTTTTTTTGTCTCTAACTCTTAAGAGCTCCTCCTGCCTCAGCTGCCTGAGTGCTGGGGTTTATAGGCATGCATCGCCACGCCCAGCTCACGAATATCTCTTCATACTTACTAGAGGTCTGGAATATTCATCCAGAAAACCCAATTCCACCTATAATTTTCCTCGGATTGAAGTGAAGGCTGTCAGTATCTGGCCAGGATAGAAAGCAAAGCCAATGTTCAAAGCACATGTATTCTTAAACATTTCTTTGACTTCCAAATTGTCCACCAGGAAACACATCACCTGGTACTTTGTCCCTTCTTTTCCCAGCTCCCCTAACGAGCCAGCATTTTGGTATTTCTGATCTCAAGAGATCCAAGTGGGTGTTATAGCCGCAGCTACCCGGCAATTTCGGGTTTCCTTCACGCTGCCTCTTTTCGGTTGAGGTTATAATTCAGCAACTTCTAAATTGTAAAGAGACCCTAAGGTGCAGGCCAGGCAAGAGGAGGGCCAGAAGAAGATCTTAAACCTGCTCCCTGCTTTCTACACCTTCAGGCCGTCCGGCCCCCGCTCCTGCTGTTTCCTCAAGTCACCGAAGCTTGCTAAACCTTCGGACCCTAGCCAGTTTCCCCGTCGCTCGTATATCCGCCTCGCCAGTCTCCCAGTGCTCACCATTCAGCAGCGCCGGGGCCTTCTCCGCGAGGTTACGGACAAACTGGGCCATGACTCTAAGGTGAAGGGCCGCCGCAACTACGGCCGGTTGAATGTCACCCCCGGGAAGGACCCGCTGTAAGACACAGTCCCACTTCTAAAGTCAGGTCGTCCTTTTCTACGCCGGTCCAAAATATTCAGGTGTTTTGGTATCCTTGAGGAATCTAGCTCAGTAGTCTATTTTATTTAGTCCATAAGGAGAAGGGAAATGGGAAAAGATGTAATCAGAGAACTGGTGGAAAGCAATGGGATTCTATATTGAAACAGGCATGTATTGGGACAGCCCGGAAGGCCGACGAGGTAGGAAGTGCGCATGCGCGCTTGCTTTTCTGGGCACAGATCTCCGCTCTTCGGAGTGGAGACCTTCACGGTTTCTGCAGAAATGTGTAGAGGATTTATCGGTGAGATACGCCTAAACCTACACATGCCTTGTAGAGGGAGGAGCCCGAGGCCTAATATGTGAAGTTACGTACGAAGCAGGCATTACACAAGTTATCAGACTCAGCCCAGTTTCGCTCTCCTTTCTTACTTTCTTTGAGGCAGGGTGTCTGTGCAATTCCAGCTGGGCTTGAAGGCACTTTATACCCCAGGTTGGCCTCGAACTCGCGATAATTCTCTTGCCTCAGCCTTCCGAGTGCTGGGATTACAAGCACCATGCCCGGCCTCAATTCCTTCCTTAGGCTGATTTTTTTGTGATCGCATTCTCCCCTGCATCCTAAGTATTTCAATCCAATTCACATAATTTTATAACGTAGCCACAGGGAGCGATGCAGATGTAAAAACATTTACAATGGGCCTCTGATATGCCAGGTATTTTGGAAATTAACAAAAGCCTGTGTATTGGGTATTGTCCTCGAGACCTGTAAGTGGCCACGTAGCTATGGGGCGGAAGAGTTAGGCTCTGAAGAAGTTGCAGCTTAGACACAGAGGGAAACATCAGTTCAGATAAAGCATGATGCTGATCTGGAAAAATCTAGAGATCCGTGAGGTGATGTCTAAGAGAACAGCTATATACTACAGAAAGCTGAAACTTTGTCGTGTGACTGGAACAGAAGATGTGAGGAACTAACATTTGATGGAAACAGAACTATAAGTAATATATTTTGGAGAACCCTGAGCAGAAGGAAAACTGATGGGATGGTTAGTGAGGCAGAATGGAAAAATTAGAAGTGACATCAAAGGTGCAAAGAGCATTTCAACAACGGAGTGATTTAATGCCTTAAATACTGCACAGTAGGCAAATTAAGGACAGGAAAGTTAATTTAGTAATATATTAACTAGAGCAGTCCTGAAAAATTAGGATAGAAGCTAGAATGAATGTGAAGAAATACGGTTTTAAAGGAATGCAAGTCAGAGAACAAAAGGGGTATGTGGAATTCAGAGAGAAATTGACAGAAAAGGGATATTGCCAGGAGCTTTGAGGCAAGAAAGAGGAAGAAATTAGCCTCGGAATGGTGGTGTCTTTCCCTCAAGTGGGTCATGAGAAAAGTTTAAAGTTTGGAATAGTCGGAGGTTAAGGGCATACACAGGATTGTAAGGCAGTGTTAGAGACCAGGTTTGTGGTTGCATCATTCCAATGATTTTTGTTTTTATCCAAGTCTGAAGCTTGCTATGGGAGCTGAGGGTATGGCTAGATTAATCTAGGCTGAAATTTTGCATGGTAGGGATATAAGAACAATGGGCAAGAAAGGGGAACATGGTAGCAAGTGGTTAAAATAAAAGGCCTGGAGTTTAGGCCAGATAAAGAAAAGTGAAGTCAAAGGGAGCTAATTAGGAAAAATATGTAGGCTTGAGACTCAACTGAGGATAACTCCCCTTCAAGAGACTTGGTAAGCAGGTCAGGCAAGTAGGCAAGTTACACACATTTGATACTACCTACCTCCAAAAAACCTCAGTCCTCTATTTTTTTTTTTTTGTACTGGGGAAAACCTTGCACTTGCCAGGGAGGTATACTATTAAGCTAAATCCCTGGCACAATCCTCTAGGTTTTCAGAGAGATTTCTTTTTTTTGGGTACCAGAAATCAAACTCAGGACTTTATGCTTGCCAGGCAGGCACTGTCCCACTGAACTATATCCCCAGCCCCTCAGAGATTTCTAAAACTACTAGCTTTTAATGTGTAATAAAAGCGATAACAACGGTTGTAAGTCAGGTGTTCATTTATTAAGTACAAGTTTTGAACAAACACCCCCAGGCAAGTCAGACAAAAAGTAACCTTCCTGGAATGTCTCAAAATACAATTATGTAGATCAAGTTTTATTTCGGTCAACCTTGTTTTGCTCTTCATTTTTAGGTTCTTTTCCTATTTAGCAGTTAGAGCATATGCATTAATTCCTTAAAGGCCCCCAGTAGATTTATACCCTTCAATGGCTGCTTAGCAACCAGCATCAAATCAAGTGATGAAGCTTTTGTAGAGTGTGATATTGAACAGCAACTGGCACTTTCACATGCACCATTTAAATACCTCTAAAGCTTCCTTCAGATTTTTGTTTTTTGGTACCGGGGATTGAACTTGCCAGGCAGGCACTTATGCCACTGAGCTATTATCCCCGGTCCTAGGATTTTATATATTCACTAAAAACTAGTTAAAAAAAAAAATCACAAAACTCTTGACTGTTTGGCAAAACCCACTTAAATAATTTCCCTGTTTACTGCTAGCCTCTTTGTAAGTTGTAAGCTGATTAGAGTCTTCATTTTCCTAACATACTCCAGCAAAGCCATCACATCACACCAGGTATGTCAGAAAGTCTACTCTTTTTTTTTTTTTTTGTCTTTTTCCTTTTTATCGGTACCAGGGATCGAACTCATGACTGCCTGCTTACAAGGCAGGCGCTTATGCCACTGACCTAAATCACCAGCCCCAGAAAGTCTACTCTTAAAAAAGAGATTTAGAGTTGCTGCTGAGTTCCAGACAGAATACCTCCTAATACTTCTAAATGCATATATGCACCATGTATTGAGATGGGATTTCTTTTAAAGTCTTAATAATGTTCCTAGACTATTTCACAGAAAGAAGGCACAGAGGACACTTGGTTTCTTTACCAAAAGTGGCCTTAAGCTTCACACTTGCTTTGTGATGCATTTAAAGATATTCAGCAGCATGTATGTTACCATAGCCATTCACAAAAAGTCTCAGGAAAAGAGCTTTATAAAAAACAAAACAAAAATGCCTGCCACAATAGGCTTACAATCCGAAGGCTAATCACAGAAGTACAATACAGACGCTAGAGGCAGCATAGAGGTTGTTAGCTAGAAAGCTGCTGGAGCAGCTGCTTTCTGAGGTTTTGTGCCCATTTTCTTGCAATTTTCTCCTGCAAAATTCTGGTCTTTTACTTTCTTTTTAGAATGACACTGTTAGATTGGATCAGAAGATAAGTGTAAGTAGGTGGAAGCTTATTTTATACACATTTCATTCTCAAAGAGGGAAAGGAGAACAAATATGAATCAAGCTCATTTTAAGAAAATAAATCCTGTCAACACATCCTTTAAAGCCCAGGGAGCACAATGAATCACTCTTACATTCTGGCACTTACAAGTGTCTCAATCTTTCATTTATAAGCGCAGCCATAAGTGATGTCTATTTTATATCCAGGATAGGAAGCCCTCTTAGATTTGAAGTTTCCCAGCTGATAACATTAAAACACATCATTTATAGCAATGTATGTTGGAATATTTTTAAAAATATATTATTTCACCCTTATTTCTAAATTACTTTTCCTGTCCCTTATGGTATCTCTGGGCTTACATGGACACTGATACAAAGATGGTCCACTGGAGAATGTGCCTCATTCAGCAGGTTAAACTGCACTATTAGTGGAGAGCTCTATTTAAGGATAAGTGGATATTTAAAGTGGCTTGTGGATAAAGTTTTGCTCACATTCCTACTTTGTTAATTGATGACCTAGGGCTAGTTAGAAGCAACTCTTACAAGTCAGGTCACAAACATTAATTATTTACATTTTATAGTCTCAGAATTTTATTGTCTAGAATGAGTCTGTAAGCATAGCCACACAGTTTATATTCTTACTACGAAGAGAGAAAGTGGTACTTAGTTTACACTAGACCAATATAAAAAAGCACATGGTGAGTGTGCATATGTGTATATACATAATACACACTGAGATATACTACTGATATTAGTGCCAAAATGACATTTCTCGTGTTGTAGTATTGTTGCTTAAGTTTTCTGCTCAGGCCTACTCCTTAAAGCAACAGATTTTTTTCCATAAGAAAATGTCCAGCAGCTGCCTATTTATTCATTCACTCCAGAGTTTTTCTGACTCAAGTCATGATTGCAAATTTGTCATGAAATTCGCAAAATTACGAATCATCCTGAAAAGACTGCAGGGCTACATTTTTGGTGGTGACAACCTCATGAGAAAGTGTTTGTGATATATATATATATATTTTTTGTCTTTTTCATTTTTATCGGTACCGGGGATTGAACTCACGACCGCCTGCTTGCAAGGCAGGTGCTTATGCACTGAACTAAATCCCCAGCCCCGTGTTTGTGATATTTTTAAGTTATAACACAAAATTAAGAGCTACCAACAGAAGTGGCAAGAGATTCCTTTTTTCTTTAAAACAAACACACAAACAAACAACCTATCATTCAAAAATCAACACAAACATGAACACATTTGCTTTTATGTTAAAGGTTATCCCGTAACATTTTAGAACTGTAACAAGGGACTTAAGTCCAAAATATGAGGACTCGTAAATACGTAGAATGACAAAAGATTTTCTGGATATCAACTGTCATTAGATTATGACACTAGACTTAAAAATATAATTTAAGGCAGGGAAAGAAAAAAGCTGAAAATCATGGTGGTTTCTAAAGTTGGTGACACTATAAGAAAGTGTAATTTCCTACAAGCCAGGGGAGCACTGACAAGTTCTTAGAAATCTTTTTTTTTTGGTCTTTCTGAGACAAGGTCTCACTATGCAGTTTAGGCTGGCCTTGAACTCACTCTGTAGGCCAACTCACAATGATCCTTCTGCCTCAGCCTCAGGTGGTACTACCATGGCCTAGGCTGTTCTTAGGAATCTTAATTATCATAATTTGAGCAATAGTAGTTCTCTAATTTGGTGAAGGGGAGGAAAAAAAAAAGGAACAGAACCAGAAAGAGGGAGACCACAAACAATTGTTTATCTACACTTGGGGTTGCCTTTTGGTTGGTTTAGTTCACAGTGTTTATTCAAGTTGCTCCTTTTGTTGTTTCCTTTCTGCAAGCCACCGTTGAATTTTTTCTTTCAGTTCAGTGTTTGGCCGGATCTGGTCCATGGTGAGGGGACTACGGTTAAAAGGATCTGTTTGGTCACTGGCAACAAAGAAAGGAATGGATGTTATTTCTGTAGGTTCTAATCACCGTAATCTTAAAAGAAACACCTAGGCATCTCACCTCAACTGCAAAGGACGCTCGATAAGTGCACTGTAACTCAGTCAAAAGCTGACTTGAGTGTGTGAAGGATGAGATGACAAAGAGATTCAGGAGTTTTCCAGCCACTTTGTCTCTTTCTCTGAAGAACTTTATCTTAACACTGCTGTTCAAATATTTGATTTCAGTGGCTTAAAAAATGGCATCAGATTTCTTTTTTTGGGGGGGTATTGGGGATTGAGCTCATGACCTGGTGCTTGCCAGGCAGGTGCTTATGCCACTGAGCTAAGGCCCCGGCCCGCTTTTAGATTTTTGTAAGGCAGAGATCCTATATAGTCCAGTCACTGTAAATAAATTTTTCTTTCTTTTTTTGTACTGGGGATTGAACCAGGGCCTTCATACCGAGCAAGTCTTTTGTTGTTTTTTATTTTGAGACAGGGTCAGTACCTAAGTATTAGAAGCCAGGACCTAAGGTTCAATTCCCAATACCATAGGAAGGAAAAAAAAAAAAGAGAAAGAAAATGGAACCCCAAACAATTTCAGGTCAGCTTCTACTTCACATTAACATCTCGTTCCAATTCTAGCAGTATTTGCTGCTGAAGCAAGCACCATGTTAATATATCTTATAACATATACTGATAGAATTTTTCTGTTTCCTTTTTTTCTCTCTTTTTTTGTGTAGTACTAGGAATCAAACCCAAGACCTCTGAAGCTGAGCTCCATCTCCAGCCCTTTTTATTTTTTGTCTTTTTGAGACAGGGCTTTGTTATGTAGTTCAGGCTGGACTTGAACTCACTTTGTGGTCTTGAACCTGCAAGGATCCTCCTGCCTTAGCCTCCTGAGTGCTGGGATTGCAGGAGTGCACCACCATGCCCCTCATTTGGGGACTGGCGTACCTGAGCAAATGTCTGGCAATGGTGGACCTATCCACAGTGACTCTGGAAGATGGCAGCACCACAGGGTCAGACATCAGTGTGCTCATGATGGGATCCAGGAACTCATCACAGGCATCCGCATAGGTCTCCTCTTCTTGCTGCTGGAGATCTGCAAGAGACTGAGAATACAGCATCTGGCAGTTACAGTGAGTTCACTGTGCAGCTGAACCTAGAATGTACAATGATTCTCCCTTTAACTTTGTTAACAGCTCTTGGCAGTCATGAGAAGTTTTAGCTGTTATTTTTTCAACAACAAATTTTAGAAGCAAATTTAGCATTTTATCCCACCTAATCCTGAATCTCAAATTGGCTCAGCTGGCAGTTACAACTAGAAATGGGTTTAAGTATTAGCAGAAAAACAGGGCCCCGTGTCTCTTTGGCAACAGTACTGTTAGCTATTGTAATTCCAAAGGGGATGGGCCAGGAGGGTTATTATTTGCATAATTCATTCATGCAGTTTGTGTATGAAAGTACTTTTTCAGTTTTGGTAAAAACAGATATAGAAATTTAAAAGTGGCCTCAACATGTGATTCCTATACAAATCTAGTTCCTAGGGATTCATCTTGTTAAGCTCTAGGCCAAGATGAAGCCTAACAAAAAAGAAACTGGTCAGGTGTAGTGGTGCATGACTGTAATCCTAGCACCTGGGAGGCTGAGGCAGGAGGATCACGAGTTTGAGGCCAGTGTGGGTGACACAATCAGATCCTGTCTCCAAAACAAAATCCTCAGGAAAAAAAAGCAAACAAGTCAGTGCGAGAAGACTGATACCAATAAGGAGGTTTTCTATTAGACTTCTGTACTATGATTTTTCTGTATCACCTTTTATTTTGGCAGTACTAGGGACTGAAGCCAGGACATTTGTACTGAGCTACATCCCCACTCCTGTTTAGTTTTCATTTTGAGACAAGGACTTAAACTGGTAATCTCCTATTTCAGCCTCCCAAAGTATAGAATTCAAAAGCATGTGTCCCATGTCAGTTTTCTGCACCACTTCTAATGGAGCTCTGTCACACTCCCACCAAAGGGGTTAGCTAAATACAATATAGTGCATTAACCTCTAAGATGGTCCACTATTTATTTTTTATTTTAAGGCAGGGTCTCACTAGGCAGTGCAAGTTGGTCTTCAACTGCTTTTTGTAGCCCAGGTTGGCCTTGAACTCATGGTGATCCTTCGGCCTCAGCCTCCCAAATGTGGGGATTATAGGCATGTACCCAGTTTAACCTCTAAAATGTATGTCAACTACCAGCTGCAAAAGTAGAGAACAGAGGAAATCGATACAAATCACTGACTAAAAACTACTCATCCTGGAATTTTATTCTAAAAAGTTCTGTATTAATATTCCAGGCTTTTAAATATACTGGTAACTGTGGGCATAAAAGTTCTCCTAACAACAGCTCTTCCAGATGTGTACACTGCTTCTGATAGAAACATCTTCAAATTCTAGTCTTGCTGTTACGTGTACAAGAGTAATGTTCAGGCTGGGGATTTAGCTCAGTGGCATAAGCGTCTGCCTTGCAAGTGTGTGGTTGTGAGTTCGATCCCTGGTACCGATAAAAACAAAAAAGACAAAAAAAGAGAGTAATGTTCAATAAAAGAAGTTCCAATTATTGACTGACAAGGAAAAAATCATTTGTTTTTAGTTTCTTAAGGCAGTGCTCTTAATCTCCCTGAAATGGCAGAAAAGCAGCACAGCAAAGTTGACAATGATTTTCTTTTTGGTACTGGGGATTGAACTTACCATCTTACACTTGCTAGGTAGGCGCTTATGCCACTGAGCTAAATCCCCAGCCCTTATTTATTTATTTTTTAAAAATTGGACACGGGAGCGAACAAATTTTCTTCCCCCTCACCTTTATTCTCTCTGCCAAGTTGCTGAAAGCCACTATCATATTTCCGGGCTTATTTATTTTTTTCAGGACTCGTACTGTCTGTGCAAAGAGAGTTGGGGAATAGGAACGTCCATCCTTGGGCACAGTGGCACAGAAATTCTCCTCATCCCTGGAAGGTCAGCAAGAGAAAGAAACTGAGTACCTGAGAGTAGATCAATGGAGAGATAGGAGATGGGTCTGAGAACAATTATTCTCATCATTTATAAGCTATGAGTGTCCTTTTGATCTAGAAAGACTTCTGATTATCTAGGAAGGAGTCCACCTCTTGGCTGTAAAAGACTACTTCTTTCCCAAACAACAGTATAAGCAGTAAAGTTTATCTTTGCACAGGTCAAGGAGAATGCTAGAAATCCTGAAGAATGCCCACAGATTATACGAAATCTGCCTGTTCAGAACTACAGAAGATTCCTTCATCAATCAACTGGAAATGACTATTTCTTTTGTTTCCACACAATAGCCAAGCAGTTATTCTGTGATTTGGCCAGTTCTGATGTCACCTACCCAAGATTCAGGTAGATAGTACAGATATCTGATACAAGCTGCTGGGGTTTGAAGTCAAATTCACTGAAGTCCTTCACTTTTAAGGCACCCATCTTGGGGCCAACCAGATGTTGCAGGAAGTAGTTCAGCATGGAGATGATGCGCTCAGCTAGGAATGGATGCACGAAGAGGGATTTGATCTCTAGAAAAAAATAAAGTCTCTGAAAACTCAGTCCACTGTAATATTTTATTTTTATCTAGTTTACTTAGAGCTCTTGGGACTACTTTTTTTCAATTACATAAGTAATATATTTTTCATTGAAGAAAGCATAGATGAACAAAACTAAAAAAGAAACAAAAAGAAAACAACAACTAGGCATGATGGCTGCATACCTATAATCCCAGCACTCTGGGAGGCTGAGGCAGGAGGATTACAAGTTTGAGCCCAACCTGGGCAATTTAATGAGACCTTGCTTAAAAAAAAAAAAAGGCAAGGGCAGGGAACTGGAGATGTACTTCAGAGTGCAGGCCTGAGGTTCCATTCCCAGTATTGTATGGAAAAAATAAGCTGTACTCACTTATATTTTTCTTTTTTCTTTTTTTTGGTACCAGGGATCAAACTCCTAGCTGTGTGCTTGCAAGGCAGGCACTTATGCCACTGAACTAAATCCCTGGCCCTGGCCCAAGCTGCACTTATTTATTTTTTGGTACCAGGGATCAAACTCACAACCTCATGCTTGCCAAGCAGGCACCTCCTGTGCCAGTGAGCTAGGTCCCTGGCTTGCATGGAAGAAATAAAAACTCTGGCTCAGAGATAAACATTGTTAACAGTTTGGTAGGTAGTAGTATATACATGCATCTTAAAAACAAAAATGATTATTATATTGTAAATATCCAGTAACTATTTTCAGTAGCTGTATCATAAATAAATGCCTTACCACTTTAGTAAGTATAAGTTTCTGTGCTGTCCAACATAGTAGCCACTGACCACATGTGCTTTAAAAAAAAATTTTGGGAGGGGCTGGGGATTTGGCTCAGCGGCATCAGCGCCTGCCTTGCAAGCAGGCAGTCGTGAGTTCGATTCCTGGTACCAATAAAAAAGGAAAAAGACAAAAAAAAATTTTTTTTTTGGTGACAGTCTCATTTTATAGTTCAGACTGGTCTTGAACTTGTGGCTATCCTCCTGCCTCAGCTTTCTGAGTGCTAAGATTTCAGGAGTGCACCTGGCATATTAATTAATTAGATAGGGTCCCTAAGCAGTTTGGGCTGGCCTTGAACTCACTAGGGAGTCGAGGCTGAGCTCAAATTCACAGCGATCCTAAGAATTCAGTTGTTTAGCTGCACGAGCCTAGTGGTGGCAAACCTATGGGACATGTACCACAGCAGGCTATTTGTTACCACTGAAATCTCTGCAAGGTTGGTGAACACTGCACTAGCCGTACTTAAAAGTGTTTCATCAATGACATGTGGAGGGTATGTATAGTACTGGAGAGCCCAGATCTATAGAACATTTCTACTACCACAGAAAGTTCATGGGATAAGCTGACTGATGCCTTTCTTATGACCACATAGCTTTCCAGCTGATGACTACACCATGAGTCATGTAGCATGTCTTTACTAGTGTATATTTTGAACATGTTCACTTTTTCCTACTATAAAAGCCTTACTTATTCATGAGTTTTATGCGTGTAGCCATCTCCCCTCATCCACTACTTCCTTCCAGTTTCAGATACGCATGGCTAATCACAGTTGGAGAACACTGAGTGGAAAATTCTATCCTCCTGAGTAGGTAGAATTATAGGCACATATCACTGCACCTGGTTGAAAGGAAAATTCTAAATAAAGAACTGCTAAGGCTTAAACTGCATCATGTCCTCAATAGCATGATGAGCTCTTGAGCTGTCCAGCTTCATTTCCCCTTGCATGTTGAGTCATCCCTTTGTTCACATGTGCAGGCTGCACACAGAACCTGCCCGTTGTCAATTAGTAGGTTTCTGGTTATGAGATGAACTGCTGTGGTCAATGGTGGCTTGTATTCTATTTAGTGATGGCTCTGAACTGCAAAAGTATTGATTCTGTCAATTCGCATACGCCAAAGAGAAGTCAAGAAGTACTTCTTTTAAGTGAAAAAATGCAAACGTCTTTAATAAGGAAAGAAAAAAAATCACATGGTAAGTTGCTAAAATCTACATAAGTTATTATTGTTCATCTCTTATTATGCCTTTTAAAAACAGTATTTATTTATTTTTGTCTTGTTTCAGACAAGGTCTGGCTATGCATTTCAGGCTGGCCTTTAACTCACGTTGTAGCCCAGCCTGGTCCGGAACTTGCAACAACCCTCCAGTCTCAGCGTCCTGAGTGCTGGGATCACAGGCATGCGCCACCATGCCTGACTATGTAGTTGAGAATGGCCTTGAACTCACTATACAGCTCAGGCTGACCTGGAACTTGTGGCAGTTGTCCTACCACGGCCTTGAGTGCTAGGGTTACCAGTGAGTGCCACCACACCCAGCACTGTGCCTAATTTATAATTTAGATTGTATCATAGGTATGTATATAAGGGAGGAAACAGTACATACAGGCTTAGTACTATCAGTAGTTTCAGACATCCACAGGGATTCTTAGAGCGTATCTCGTAAAGATAAAGACAGACTCCTGTTTATACCCTGCAGGTGTATTACTTCTTCACAACAAATTTGTGAGCACTGCTAGGTCATAAGGCATGAACTCTAAAAATTAAAAATAAATAAACTAACACATGTGAAGTTTAGTAAGCCAGACAGTATGATGACGCTTGCTCTTGTCTTTTGACATTTCAGCCATTATCTGTTGACTCCACTACAGATGAAGAGTCAGCTCTTACTTCCTGTCCCACTCTGCTTCTCCAAATACAAATCCCCAGTATATACCCAAATTTTTGGCTAAACAACTTAAGAGTTTATATCATTGATTATATAAATATCATTCACAGCAGAACCATTTAGTATCTTTTTAAAAAATTTCTAGTACTGGAGATTGAACCCCTGTCCTTTGTACTGAACTTTTAAAAATTTTTAACAAGGGCTGGGGATTTAGCACAGTGGCATAAGCTCCTGCCTTGCAAGTGTGCTGTTATGAGTTCGATCCTTGGTACAAAAAAAAAAATTTTTTTTTCCACAAAGTTTTATCAAGTCATATTACCAAGCTAGGCCTGAACTTGTGACCCTCTTCCCTGACCCTCCTGCCTAAGGCTCCCAGAGTCCCAGGATTTTCATTTTTCTTTGGTACCAGGTATCAAACTCACAACCTTGTGCTTGCCAGGCAGGCACTTAAGCTGCTGAGCTAAATCCTTGGCCCAGAGTTGTAGGATTATAGGAGTGTGCCATAAGCTGTTAAGCATTCACAGCTAAGATGTGCTACAAGTATAAAATCTACACTTATAGGCTTACCATTAAAAAGAATCTAAACTATTCAGACATTTCAGGAAATCCTCTGCTGTGAAACAGAGGATAGATGAAAACATTTTAAGTTTGTTTAAAAATTTATGTTCTCATGGGGACAAAAGAAGATACAGCAGCCACAAAACAAGAACAAAAATGCTTAAAAAAAAAAAAAGAAAAAAGTACTTACAGAACAAGAAAGAACTTTGGATATTGAAAATTTACCTTAAAAATTTTTACATGTTCACTAGAAGAGCCAGGCATGGTGATGGACTCCTGTAATCCCAGCACTCGGGAGACTGAGGGAAGAGGGTCACAAGTGTGTATATATACACACATACACTGCATAGGTGGTATATACCATGTATATGGCTAACATTCTCATGAACGTCTTTCAAACTTCTCTCATGACTGACTTGCCTCTTTGATGTGGAGGAAATTGTTACCTGGGTCTGAATTCTTACTTTCAGCGGGGTTGATCTCCCAGCACAGCAGATCTTTCTTATTACATTTGTTGGGTTATCGGGGGCATTCTTTCCTCACCTGATGTCAGGAAGGTGAGGGTACCAATTGTTTCATTGGACATGATGTTATGGAATCGTGCCAGCTGCCCAAACATCTGTAAGCCAGCCTCTTTCTCTCGGCGGGCTTCAGGGCTCAGATTGTCCCATTCACCTCGGTCCTTCTCGATTTGCTGAATTTTTATTTTGCTCAAATACTGCAGAAACCATATGTGAGATGTATCAGAAAAGTGTAGCTGAAGGAACATGACATTTAAGAGGTTTTAAGATCCAGTTGACTAAGCTGGAAAACCAGGGATAATTACAGAGATGTGAAATTTTTTGTGTCGGCATAGGACTAACTCTTAAACAGAACTTTTGGAAAGAAAGAAACTATATCTTCATACAGATTTAGTTCGATCTTGTTAGATTCACAAGTAATTCTCCAAGAAACAGTATAATATTAGGAAATAGAGCAATAATGGTATAATATATGAAACCTAGGCCAAAAACCAAGATACGGTGAAAAAATAAATCCTTAATGAAAGATGAAAAAACTCTGCCTACCAAAATTGAAAGCTCCATCAAATGTGTAAGACATCTGAAAGGTGAATTGTAATTATTTAAAACTTGCTACCTTTTATTGTCCTTACTATTATAGCAAAGAAATTAAACAGTCTAATAAAAATGCCACCTGTTTCATTCTGATGCCACACTGCTCCTGTTTAAAAGGGCCTGTTTTTAATAGGACCTGGTCAAATTTTCTATAGTGTAGGATTATTAACAGGGCAGAAGGCCAAACCTTTGTCACACTCTAAGCACAAGTTGCTTGGGCACTGCCCATCGGCAAGAGGAGCCCCTCAATGCCCAGGGGCTGCTCTGAGGCCTGCTTTGCTTCGGCACCCTTGCTGCTCTAGCGTAAACCCATCACAGGAAGTTTTATGGTACACGGTAGGCACTCGTAAGTTTTTATAGGAACATAAAAGCAGCTCCATAAAGCTTGTTTAAGGAAAACACTGCAGGAGCTAACTGATACTCAGCTGTATTTTATGCTTTGTAAGTTCCATGTTCTACAATACAACTAGGGTTAGGGGGCAGTAGATAGACGAACAACAATGATGACTTAGTCTTTACATAAAACAGAAAACCAGAGGTTTTTTGAGTTATCAATGCAAAAAATCAGAATCTTCTAGGAGGGAAGACTAAAGATCACCATTTCTGTGAACCGCCATTAATGATGTGTAGAAAACAGGTGACAATGACCAAAAATAAGATCTTTTCATCTTTTTATCTAACACTGGTCTGATGATGCCTGCCAGTTCACCTCAGTTTGCCTCCTTCACATTACCTTTTTAATTTTCACAAAGTACCCATCCTCACCTGTGAGACTTATGCAACCTCTGGTGTGTAACAGAACACTAACCTAGAGAGCTCTGTGGTGCAAGCTTGCACTTATACTACTACTCAGAGTGTTGGTTTAGGCTGGTATTAGGGGCATAATAACTGCTCTAAGGTCAAAAATATGTACCGATGATAATTTGCTATATACAAGCAGTTAAATTTGTTTTGTTTTAAACCTGTATGGCTTCATCCAAAAGGAAGATGGCATCGTTCATTAGCAGGTTAAGAAAGCGGAGAAAAAGTGGAGGATTCATAGCTTCTAAATTCTTAGAGGCATAGTCAGCCAAATCCTGAAAGAAGAGAAAACTTTCAGTACTGAATCACAAGTGCTGGGACTTCTCTGAAGTAACGTTTCACCAAAAAGTCTCTTACCTTAATGCTCTCCCGATAGGAGTCTGTCCCCCACATATATCTCAGGATGGGATACATGGGGCGGCGGTAATTAAACTTCTGTTCAAATTGATGGGGGTCTCCTGGAGTAAGGGAAGAGTGAGATCAGCAAACAGTCTCCAGACAGTGACTGGGAGCTTCTATCTATGTCCAGCCATTTTTTCTGAATGTATCAAGGTTGCTGGCAAAATCTTCCCAGGAGTTTCTAAAGGCCTGGATAGAGTTGGGCCAGATGGATGTTAATCCTCTTATTGACCAAACAAGGAAAGCCAGGGAAACTGGTGTTTCCACATGCAAATATGCACTACTTGAGTCAGGCTTCCGGGCTGGTGTTAGACGGGGACAGGCGTGTGCAGAGCAGGACGCTAAGTAATCCCCACGTTCTTCACAGACTATGTCCCAACTGTGTACCCATTTGGTTCTTGTTTTTTTAAAAAATCAGGCCTGCACCTAAAAATCACAGGCTTATTCTTTCCCTACAGCTGAGTCATATAAAAAAGAGTATAGGATTTAGAGTCAGAAGACCTAGGTTTTCATTCTGCCTCCATTTAACACAACCTCTTTCTCTTCTGCAGAAATAAAACCAAAATTGCACCACATTACAACTCTTTGGTTATATGGTCACATGATGAGGTAACGGCAGTGATATATTGTGCAACTTCTCAAGTAGGATGAAGATTTATATGTACTATTTCACTGAAACACTGCTTTGACCATTTCACAGATGAGGAAATTAAGACTTAGAGGTAAGTAACACAATCAGGAACCAGATATGGAAAGAGCAGCCAATAAAATGGTAAATACCTCTTTAAATGTTAAATGTATGTATCACTAGAGGGTCAACATCCTCTTTAAAGTTGTCTTATGCAACTCCTTAATATATCTTGCCTTGTAGTTGAGAAGGGATACTGTTTAATCAAACACAAAGACTCGGGTCTAAAGAAAAGGGGAATGCTGCCCGCTGATGTTAGAAAGTTCAGTTATATGGTTAACACTATGTTAACCATAGTTATATGATCAATCACTATGCCATCTCATTACCCTCTATTCTAATATTTGGAGGCAGAGAAAAGACCTAGGTTTCCATTAAACAGCCTAACTTCACTAAATATGACTTCATCAAAAAACATAATGTGGTTGGTAAGACTATGTAGGGTTTTTGGTGAAAGAGCTGGTTCGACTACTTAGTAGGTGTATGACATGGACAAACAGCTAATCTTTTTTTGCAGGGCTAGGCATTGAACCCAGAGCCTCACGGATGCTGGCAAGCTCTGTGCCACTGAGCTATACCTCCATCCTCATTTTACTCTTTTTTTGTCTTTTTCATTTTTATCGGTACCAAGGCTCATTTTATTCTTGAACATTCACCTCTTAATATATAAATTGGGAATAATAAAGTTATACATTTAAGATGGTAACAAGTAAATGATATAATATTTTTTAAAAGCAGAGGCTGGGCATGGTGCTGTATGCCTATAATCACAGTATTCTGGGAGGTTGAGATAGGAGAATTAAAAGTTTGAGTCCAGTCTGGGTGATTTAGCAGCTTAAGTGAGATCTTGTCTCAAAATGAAAAATAAAAAAAGGGCTAGGGAAGGCCTGGGTTCAATCTTCAGTATTGGAAACAAAATAAAACAAAATACTCCAAACCCAAAATAAAGCAAAACACCACCAATGTGGTACATCGTAGATACTCAATAAATGATGGCTTCGGCATTCAAAAAGTGATCAAGCTATGAAACTCAGTGATACTAGCTTCTCCGTCCTGGACCTGGCTGGATGACTGCTTTACCTGTAAACTCAATGTCCACAAAAACTTTGATTAGGGCTTCTGCAAGCTGAGGTGCATATGGAAAGTTACAGAATACACGTTTCCGGTGGAACACACTGGACACCAAGGGATTCGGCGTCTGATCCAGGTGAGGCATCACTGCTTCCAATACCTCAGCTAGCTTGGCCCTTAGGTGTGGATTCTTCATTCTGCAAAGACAGCAGAAAGCAGGATGAGGGGGAAACTTAATTCTCCAATTTATGGTTCTGTTCTTTCTACCGAAGGAGCCAATCCGCCCCTGTGATTACCAGTACAAAGGTGATGCAGGGTACATCATTTAACACTTGAAATGACAGCTTACCCAGTACAAGGGTGAACACTCAAGTTTTTATTTAATGCTGAGCCATTCTGGTTTTTTTTTATAATTCATTGTTTACTGCATACTATTCTCTCAGTTTTCACTTTAGATAAATCTGCCTTTCCAAGCTTTCTGGGGATAAAGATTAGGTCACAATTACTTTACATTACCCACAAATGCGTACATCTCTTACTAGGTCTGCTCTGCTCACTGCAGGGCTGACTTCTACCTACTTTTCATTAATACGGCTCGAGGAATTGTAGGGCATTCTTATTACCGTGCAGTAAATATTCACTTTTGTACACAGAATTGTTTCCTTTAGGCTTACGCGACAAAAAAATCAGGGAGGCAATCCTAAAAGCCACGGTACTTTTTTTTTTGGAAAGAGGGCTAGAAAGATGAGAAAGATTTGATTCAGTTTACTAATAATCCAACTCAGAGCAGCAAGAGCAAGCGCTGTCACCACAGAGTTAGCAGAAAAGCAGCAGAGCCTGGCTCCCTCTGATACGGCTTCCTAGCTGGGAATCCCATGAGGCACCTCACGTAGGTTCAGACGCCTCTCAACAGTGAGATTTTTGGCTATGCGTAGGATGCTCAAGTGATTCATCAATGTTAACAGAACTTCCCAAGACAACCTTTATGAGTCAGGCTTGTTTATTTCTTGGTTTAGAAGTCTTCTGAACTTTTGCAATTCTAAACAGTGATGGAAACCAGCTTTTCAGCACTTCACCTTTCTATGCTGCCAGTGAAAATGGTGATAAAGTGAAGGACATGCTCCAGGGAATCTGCTGATGTCTCCAAGATGTCATCAGCAAAGCGGCGGAGAAAAATGAGAAAATCACCCAGGTTGTCTGCAAAAAATTCTGAAAAATAAAATGGTCATTGGAGTCAGTCAAATACCTATCTATTGGTACTAACCACTGATCGACTGATCGGTTTTCAGACAGGGTCTAACTATGCAGTTTAGGTTGGGCTTGACCTTACTTTGTAGCCCAGGTTGGCCTCAAATTTAACAGTGATCCTCCTGCCTCAGCCTCTGCATACTGGGATTATAGGCATGAGCCACCATGCCCGGCTTGGTACCTCACATTTAAATACCTTTCTTTCATGCTACTTAATGAAGGTCAAAAAAAAAAAAAAAAAAAAAGCAAACATTGTAAAAGACTTGGGATAGTGATAAGTTAATGAATGTAGGCTCTCCCTTAAATGTAATGTCTTTGAAGTTTTGTTTATTTTTACTTCTTGAAGTTAGGGTCTTCATCCTGAGCTCCATTCCCAGCCCTATTTTAATTTTTTATTTGAGATAGGGTCTCATTAAATTGCTAAATTCCCTACACTGGGCTCAAAGTTGCAGTCCTCTTGCCTTAACCTCCTACAGTGCTGCAATTACCATATCTGCCTTGTAGTTTTATATTTATCCAAGTAAATATATGAACCATAATAATGTATACTGATTTCTACTTTCAGCTATCATGTAAATTTAAACCCTTTAGGTGTCTAAAGAATCACTAATCATGGTCTGTTTTTTTTCTTTGGTACCAGGGATTGAACTTATGACTCACACTTGACAGGAAGTGCCTGTGCCGCTGAGCTATATCCCCAGCTAATCATGGTTTTGGCATCTGATGACTATGGCAGCCGGCCTCTGGGGTTGTCCTACAATGACCCCTCACCTCCTGGTCTCTTTGCCCTTGTGCTGGCCCTTCCTAGATTCTTGTAGGCTGGGACAGACACCCTGAAGTACACAGCAGAAAAGACGTGTGTCATTTCTAAGCTTAGGTATAAAAGCTTACAACTTGTTGGGTTCTTGCTCAGGAGGAAGCCCCTGCCATATCAGGAGCAGTGCTAAGAAGGATGCATGGGGCCTGGAAGAAAGGCCACTTGCCAAAGCTGCAGCCTGTCAACGACCATATGACTGGGTTTACTCAGGGATCCTTCAGCCCTAGTTGAGGCCCCAGGCCCAGGTGCCCTTCATCAACAGCTGCGACCATGTGAGGTCTTCTAAGTCAGAACCATGCAGCTGAGTGCACCTGGACCCCTAACCCTGGACACTGTGTAAGATTTTTTTCTTCAGTAATGGGGAGTGAATGTGGGGCTTTCATATTGGGCTACATCACTAGCTCTCTTTTCAACTTTTTATTCTGAGACTGGGCTTAAATTTATGACCCTCCATCTTAGCCTTCCAGACTGCTGAGATTACAGGCATGTGTCACCACCCTGGCCATGTTTGTTGTGTTAATGTGCTGTATTTGGGAGTAATTTGTTCAATAGCAATACATTATTCTTTTATTAGTACATGCATCTTTACAGTCATCTTGGGGAATTGGTGCATGTATAATACAGCTTGTTTCTTTCTTAACAGCTATATTTGACCAATACAGTGATCAAGTACATTTAACCTGCCAGGTGTGGTGGTGCATGCCTATAATCCCAGCATTCAGGAGGCTGAGGCAGGTGAATTGCCACAAGTTTGAGACCATCTGGGATTATACAGTGAGTTAAAAACCAGCCTGAGCTACCTAGCAAGAAAAAGAGAAAAAAAGAAAAAGAAAAAGAAAAAGAAAATTAACCTGACTTGAATACCTACTGACCCCTCACAATTATGTACACATAATTTCCCTTCTGTATTAACTGACAGACGATTTTTTTCTAGAAAAAGCACAAGGAGAGGTTAGAAAAATTTATAAATTGAATAATAAACAATATTAGTGACAGAAACTAGTAGCTATGAAAACACTGTCAGCACTTAGGTTTTCTGATGTGCAGGGCAGGAGGGGCACAAGGCCGAGGAACACACTGTTAGCTCCTTCATACTTTGACTAACAGGTATTTACAAGTTGGAACTCTTTGTCCAAAAGCACTTTACTGATAACTAAGGAAGATTAAACTTCCAAAGTGACCCAGTTAAACTTAGCTGGCTATAAATAGGAAGTTCCCAAGGGACAGCCTGCTTACCTGGCACGTAAGCCAAAGAGCTGTAGCCATCTGGCAAAGGAAAAGTTAGCTCTACTGGCTGTGAGCCCTCATTGCCTATGGCCAGCTGAACCAGAAGAACAGCCATGGACACCTGCAAATTTAGGCAGTTTTGTAGCATCTGCGGCTCAGTCATGGCAGTCTTGGTGGAAAGATAGATGGTCATCAGTCGTTCAAACTGCTCACGGAGATTGTCAGCAGCAGGGCTAGAACTCTGCTGAGCATCCCGCCAGGCAACCTGCAGCCGATGCAGATTTTGATTGATTTTTACCATCTGATCATGCAACCTGCCCCCAAGAAAGCAGAAGAGACTGGGTTAGGGAGGCTCATATGGGGATAACCTAGGAAAGCCCGTTCCAGAAAAACAATCCCTTGTGTATATACTCTAGAATTCTCTTATGAGGATATAAAGAGTTGCAATCTCAGTGACCCAGAAGGCACTCATGAAAGTTACTGACAAGACACAGGCAACAAGTGTAGGCCAAGTGTTCAAAGAAAACTGAAGAGAATTACAAATAGTTCTAAGCCTGCAGCTGAAATGCACCATTGCTTTGTTAAGAGGAAGCAGAATGGGCTGTTATCATGTAAAATAAATAAATAGGAAAGTATAAGAAGTGAGTGGTATGGCTTTACAGGACACAAGTGTAATGAGTATGCATGCATGGGGTTATATACAGGTTGATCTTTGGTCTTTTTATAGTTAGTACCAGCTGGGATGCAACCTAACTGCAGCTCTAGTACTCTGCTGTTAAATGTAAAATTCTTCAGTTTGAGTGAACAAAAGTTCACCCAGACTAAAAGGAAGGCCTATAATTTAAAGCTATGGATGATTGATTCTATGTACACAGTTCAACATAATCTCCGTTGGTCCTATAGATAATGCTAGGGCTGGCTGCTGGCAAAGAAATGACATTCATTACTCTGTCTGATGCTGGCTGTATCATCAGGTAGATTACACACATGCTCAACTTGTTTTCATTTTTCTAGTAATTTGCTGAGTTTTGAAAAATGCCCTGTGTTAATTCAAGTATCCTGAGCAAGCTTCAAGAATGGCTAATTCCAAGTAACTTTTGCTGTAAGCTTAACCTATGAGTTGCTATTTATTCTCCCTTATTTATAGCCGTACTCAGCTAAGTAACAACAACAAAAAAATCGTAGAATGATGTTTGGCTAGTTGGAATTAAACTCTTTTTTGGAAGCTCTATGCTTTAGTTCTCAAATTTTCACATTCTAGCATTTTCTTTATCTTAGACATACAGAACCTCTGTGGTTGTATTGGTCTCACTGGAATTCCTTGTCAATATTTTCTTAATTTTTGCCAAATTTTTCTCTATACTACAGAGCAGAGCTTGGTCTTTTTTCATCAGAAATAATGAAAACTGAGCCAGGGATTTGGCTCAGCGGCATAAGGGCCTACCTGGCAAGCACGAAATCATGAGTTTGATCCCGATACCAAGAAATAATGAAAACTTTAGACTACAAGGTGAAACATAAAATGAAAACAACTATTTTCCTAGATGCAATAGGAAAGTAGTGATTTAAAGATTTGTAAAATGTAAAGAAAAATTTAAGAAAGTATTTTTTGGTTTTGTGTTTTGAAACAAGGTCTTACTACATAACAGGCTGGTCTGGAACTATGTAGCGAGACTGGCCTGGAACCTGTAGACTGCAGCTGTTCTCCTGTTTCAGCCTGAGTGCTGGGACTGGAGGCACCACCACACCGAGCAGAAAAATGTTATCTTAATTTTAAAAGTTAATAGGTGAAAATCAAAAAGAAAATTAAGTAACTTGGGCTAAGCTGACTTACGTAAACACAAATAAATATATACTATGCTCTTTCCTCACTAGATTCTAATGGGTGCCTTTAGAACAAATCTCTTAAGACTCTTATTTAACCTCCTGCTTTTCAAACAACTAAACAGTTCTTTTCCAATGACATCAAAGGAGTTACCTGTGAAATCCTAAGTACAATGTGTACTCTGTCAGGGCAAGGTTCTCTGTTACAAGGTTGTAGTTCTGGGGAAATTTCGGCTCCTGCACAGCTGGGATCAGACAGGTTTCTTTGTCCAAACCTCAAAGAAAAAAAATGAGCAGTAAATGGATTGTCATGCACATCCATCTTGGTCACCTCTCTCTCCTTCATTTGTTCAGCTTCCATACTCCTCAAAACAAATCTCACTACATTAATTTCTTGTCTAAGAGCATCTTTTGGCTTCCTGCCATCCACTGAAATAGTTTAATGCTTTGGCTTGATCAATTATGAAAAATTAAAAAGAACAATAATGCTGTAGATTTTTCAAAGTAAGAGACAATGGACCACCTATTTCTATTCTGTGCTTTTCTGTATTTAGACTTGCTTTTAAACCTGGGCATGGTAGTGTCTGCCTGTAATCCTTGCAACTTGGGAGGCAGGTGGATTGCAAACCTGAGACCAACTGAGCAAGAACCTGTTTCAAAATAAAAAGGGCTGGGGATGTGGCTGTGTTGTTCAGTGATAAGAGAGTCTGCCTGGTATATATGAAGCCTAGGTTTAGAGCAGGTGTCACTCTTTTGTTTTAAAGACAGGCTCTTGCTGCGTACTCCAGTGTGGTCTTGACGTAGCCAGACTGGGCTCAAACTTGTGGTGATCCTACTGCCTGAGCCTCCCAAATGCTGGGATTATAGGTATGTGTCACCATGCCTTACCAGGCAGGCATTACTTTTACAATTACAAAACTGAAAGGAAATATTTAAAATTAAGTGATTCATTCTGACAGTATCATGAGTCATTTCTCTTCCTTTCAATTTTCTGTAATTGCTCGACTTTTCTCCAGCCTGGCCCTAACATTCTTTTTCCCAGGCCCGTTTCCTTTATTTCCCACCCCTTGCTCCTCATGCCCTCTTGCTCTGGGCACACTGAACTTTTAAATTATTCTTCAGTCCAAACTGTTCCAAGCTTTGTGCCTCTTCTTTTGTTATTCCTTTTGTACAAAGAGACAGTCTTGCTCCTTTGCCTGATAAATTTGAAGTTATCTTTTAAGACTCACCTATAAGTACCTCCAACTTCTGCACAACTGATTACTCCCTCCCTCCTCTGTGCTCCTGTAACTTAGCCCTGTTATATTATAATCATCTATTAAGATAACCTCCTCTTGGTACCTCTGAGGAATGGCAACTGTGTCTTATTTACTTTTATAACAAATCAATGAATATATACTCAAGGCAGCTGAATCCAAACAAAGTCTCACTAAAGTACAATATTAAAAGCTATATCTATATCTATCTATCTATCTATTTTTTTTTTAAATTGTCTTTAAATTGGGCCAGGGATTTAGCTCAGTGGCATAAGCACCTGCTTGGCAAGTGCAAGGTCTTGAGTTTGATCTTTGGTACCAAAAACAAATTTTTTTTAAGTAGCTTATCCTTTTTTTAAATTGTTATTTTGGTTTTTGAAAATAGGATCTTGCCATGTAGCAAGTTTGGCTCAAACACACAAAGTTGCCCAGGTTGGTCTAAAACTTGCTATGTTGCTTAGGATGGCCTTGAACTTGCTACGTGGCTCAGGCTGGCCTCCAATCTGTGATCTTCTTGCCCTGGTCTCCTAAGTGCTCAGATTATAGCTATGTTCCAGTTGGCTCAGCTTCCACTTCATCTTACTGAGAGGCTTTTTTTTTTTGGTACTGGGGATTGAACTTGCAACCTCATGCTTGCCAGGCAGGTGCTTATGCCACTGAGCTAAATCCCCGGCCTTACAGAGGCATCTTTTTAAAAGAGGTAAGGCGGTAACTGCCTTAGATATCACACGCACGCACACGCACACACTTTTGAGAAGCCCAATTTCCCCTACCTCGCATATGCACATTTTTAATTTTTCGTTCTTCATCATTCAACTCTTTCAGGGCACAGTAAGTGGGATTAAAGGTGAGAAGCCGAGAGGATCTAGGTTTACAAAATGGCTGGCACAGCTTCAGGAGAGCAGCACCCAGATTCAGAAAGAAGGCATCTGAGGCATACATCTGGAAGAAGATTTCTGGCATTTGATTCGCCCAAATCTTGGTGCGGCCTGCATTTGCATGCAAACAGTTTCCAAGCCAGGACAAGATACAGTGTTTGGTTTCTGGAGAAAGCTGGAGCAAGTTCTTCAGCATCTGGTAGATCTTTTCATGGAACTGGGCCATGAACTGTTACCCAGAAAACACAAGCACAGAACATTCCAGTTTCACAATCCTGATAGTATTTTACTGCTAAACCTTAGTAACTTAAATGTCTTCCCTTACTCTCTTTGTATTTTATCCCCTGGTTCTGACTTTTAAAAAGGAGATTACCAGGCACTTAATAAGAGATTTTCTGCTTGCCTGCCAAATTACAGACAGCAGGAGATTTTCTACTCACCTGCCAAATTACAGACAGCAGGACTTAGTTTTATAGTGGGAGAGGGGGATGGTAAACTTTTTTTTTTGTTTTTTACAAACCACATGATAAAACTTATTGGCCTTGTGGTCTCTGGGGGCAAGTACATAGTTTGGACACTGCAGCATAAAACAAAGATATAAAAATTACTATGAATGGACATGGTTATGTTTAGTAAAACTTTACAAAAACAGACTGGATTTGGCCACTGCTACCATTTGCCAATACTTGCTTACCAACAGAGCTGTGAGGAATAAATGGTGAATGGGAGACTTCAATTATCCCTAATCCAACCATTTACATGCCTCGTGTTGGACAGACCTCTACCACAGCTTACACTATAAGGTCCAAGTAGATAAGGTACAAGTGGTAAAAGGAAATGGAAAAAAATTGATTTAAGCTGGAGTTAAGTCAAAAGATTTTAGGAATTAAGTGACAAGAAATAGCTTGATGAGAAAAGAAAAAGAAGAAAGAAATAGCTTGATAAGGAGGGCAAAGGCTGAGGAAAGAGGCAGAGCTCCTGCATGGGGCAAGAGCTGCAGCAGCTCACTCGCACTCTCCCGGAAGGTTTATTCCCTCTCTTAGTGCAGGCTACATACAAGGCAGTTTCTTTACACTAGTGTGGCAAAAGCCAACCAGACCAATTTGCTTTTCCAAAGAAGCTTAAGCAGCCTTATCTGCAGATGGTTCCTGAGGAAATTCTATTTAGTCCTTGAGCAGGGGGGTAGGGTACCCCAGGAAATAGCTCTACCTGATGGATGTTGGCTTCCTGTACTTTGATCTCCTGAGGACTGGAACGAGAGGGATTTAGGAAGTAGCCATGATTTTCCACCACACCTGGAGTCTTTAATAAGCAGGAGATGTTCAGAATGACTCCAAGCAAGGTCTTCTGGTACATCTGCCCATTGCTAGGGTCTTTGGGCTGGATGTATTCTACAAAAACCTGTAGGAGATAAAGCCTACTTATTTCTCTGCATGGTGAGATACAGGTGATGGAGTGACAGGGCCTCAAAAGAGTTACACCTGTACATCAACAATCCATCTTTCTCTTATTCTAAAGGTAACATTAGAGTGTTCTTAGGACAAGAAAACACAAATTGTTAGATCTCCAGCTTCTCAAATATATACCACCTTTTAAACCTACCTTTGCCATATCCTTTTGCCTAGTGAAATAGAGAAGAATATCCAGATATGCATACAATAGGATCTGGCAGAGCTCCAGATCTTTAATTCGGCCCAACAAAATATCAAACACTGGAATCATAACTTCAGGAAATGTTCGAACTTCCTCATCCAATACCAAGGCTTCAATGACCCCTTCTAGAAACTCAGTTACATCTTCAAAATCTAACAGAAAACAAATGAGAAAGGATGCCATCAGAAGTTTTTTCCCCCCCTTTGTGGGGACTGAACTGAGGGCTTTTCCACTAAGCTACGCCCCCAGCCTTTTTTAAAATTTTGAGACAGGGTCTTGCTAAGTTGCTGAGTTGTCCAAGCTGGCCTCAAAGTTGTGATCTTTCTGTCTCAGCCTCCCATAGTGCTGGGCTTTACAGGTGTACACCACCAACCCAGCAGGAATTTTTACTGCAGGCTCTTTACGTCTAGTGAATCTTCTGATATTTGCATTGATATTCAATCCCAAGTATCAAGGTGTGAGCTCTCTTCCTTAATTTATACCAGAACCATAATGACTCTGAGACTTCCTAAATAAAACACAGGTCACTAATCTTGCTTATGTACTTACGAGCTCCTTGGATGGCTTCCAACATCAAATCTACCAGTTGCTCATGGATGTTTTGGTCAACATAGATCTCTGGGGTGAGGAGAACTGTTCGGGTATTGGACACAGTGAGGTTCCTGCACTGTACTGCAAAGGGCAGCAGGTTCTCTGGGACTTTGGTAATCTGGAAACAGCACGAAAAAGAGAAGGAAGAATACAGCTGTATAGTGGAATAAGGGTAGACACAGTAAAGGTTTAGAATAGACATTAGGTCCAATATTTCAAGTACCTCTCGGGTATTCTTGAAAATTTATAACAGATTAACTATTTGTCTTAAGAAAATACCTACCTGCTAAAATCTCAATCTTGGAAATGACAAGTTTAGCCTAGTTTTTAACATTTACACTTCAAGGGCAATGAATTTTTCAGACCTATTTTTGAGGGTGTGGTTCTAACAGGGTTGGACACAGATAGAGGGCACTGGTTAACTAGGAAAAGAGGTAAACTCCAAGTCATAGAAAACAGAATAAGGTTGGATAAACTCACAGTGCTTCTGATATTAAGTTCCAGATATCTTATGATGGGGATAAACTGATTAAAGTTACTGATCCAACTCTCACTTCTGTGCTAAACTCATACCCAAGAAGACGATAGAGTATTCAGTGGGGATTATTCCTTTACCTCCTCCTTGGCTCTTTGGAAGCAGAAGTAAAGGTAACAAAAAATGTGTCTCTCTCCTGCATCTCTATCAGCAGAGAGGTTTAATGTTGTAGAAGAAGTCATGTTAATCAAATGGTTTCCTGGATCTTGAAGTAACAAGCGAGCAAAGATAGCCTATTAAGAAAAACACACAAAAAACACTAAACCAATACTGATATAATCTTAGGACATTAAAATGTAAAAAGTAATTTGGAGTTAGGCATGGTAGTGTACACCCGTAATCCCAGCACTCAAAGGGCAGAGGCTGGAGGATCACCCTAAGTTTGAGGACAGCCTGGGCAATACAGTGAGTTTAAAGTCAGCCTAAACTACATAGTGAGGCCCCACTTAAAAAAAAAGAAAGAAAGAAAGAAAGGGAAGAGGAGGGAAAAGATAAGCAAAGCCAAGCAAAATATAGGAATAGTAAGAATTATGGGCTTGGTTTAGAGTGAAGGGAAAAAAAATGACCCAGTATATTCAGAAAATGTTAGACAAAGCTGGACATAGAGGCACTTTCCTGTAATTCTAGCACTTGGGAGGCTGAGCCAAGAGGATCACTGTGAATTTGAGGCCATCCTGGGCTACACAGAATTTAAAGCCAGCCTAACCTACATAGCAAGACTTTGTTTCAAAAAAACAAAAACGAAACCAAAAACACCACAAAGTGTTAGACAATAATTGTATATTTATAATTACCCTAAATCAAAATTTAAGTGTCTTAAAAATCCCAGCACAGGAATATTGAATAGTGCTCAGCATCAGTGATTATATTTGTATGTGAAATTTATTATTTTATGTGACTGTTGCTCTCAATCAGACTTACATAATTTTTTTGAGACAGTATCCTGATATGTAGTTCATAGTGGCCTTGAACTTATGGCAATCTTCCTGCCTCAGCCTCCCAAGGGCTAGGATTACATTCCTGGCAATATAAAAATTTAAATGTGTAAAGTGAAACTATGCTTTGTCAAGCGTCTGCCCTACCAACGTCAATCCAACACCTGTATGGTACAGTGCACTTGTACAATGGATCTTCAGTGTCTCCCAAAGGCCAGGAATTAAAGGCTGGGTCCCCAGGATGGTACTACTGCATGATGGTAGAGAAGTCAGGAGAGGCCTGGTAGAAGGTACTCAGGTCACTGGGGTGCCCTTGAAGGGGATGTGAGACCTGGGTCATTTTCTCCTCTTTGTCACTCTGTGGCACATGATGTGCATGCCTGTGCCCACCGTGCGCTTTGACATAGCCCAAAACAATGGGACAACTGATCAGAGACAAGTTAAACCACTACAATACTGTGAGCCGCTACAGTAACATAAAGCTAACACAGCACTGTTTTAAACTGGACTTGGTGGTTTCGCCTGTGATCTCAGGCAAGAGGGTCACAAGCTTGAGCCCACCCTGGGTAACTTGGTGAGACCCTGTCTCAAGATGAAAACTAAAAAGGGACTGGGGATGCAGCTCAGTTCAAAGGCTCTTTACTCTGCCTAAAACAAAATAAAGAAAGAAAGAAACTAATAGAGAAAATAAGTCAGGTACATAAAAAAGCCCCATGAGTCAGAAAATGACCATAGTATTCCCATTAGAGATATACACAGATTACTCTAGGTACCCATAGCAGGAAGTAACAACTCCTGTCTGGCAAGCTTTGTAAATAAGATGGCATTTTAAGTGCTAATTTTTTTTTTTTTTTGGCAGTGCTGTGGATTCAACTCAAGGCAATCACATCCAGCCACATCCACAGCCCAGCCTTTGTATTTTTTTATTTTGACAAGGTCTTGATAAATTGCTAAATTCCATAGGCTGGGCTTGAACTTGTGAGTCTCTTGCCTAAGCCTCCTAGAATTACAGGCATGTGCTACTATGTCCAGCTTTAATGTGTTCTTAAAGATATGCAGATTTGGACATATGCTGATGGACAATGAGAAGATTCCAAAAAAGGAACTCCATAGCAATGTAAGAGATAGAGGCAAGCAAACTCGCAGAGAACTGTGAGCAGCATTTGGTTACACGCTAATTTTCGCTAAAGGCACATGTTAGGAACGGAGAATGGTACCTGCTCAACATTGCTCATATCCAGCCAGTCCTGATCTTCCAACTCTACTGCCATCTCTTCCAAATACACACAGCGACTTGGGATGCCATTCCCACTTTTCATGCTTGGATCACCTGGGAAAGGTTTTAATCTGGCAGGTTAAGATAATGCTCTTTGGGGCTGGGGATTTAGCTCAGTGGTGTAAGCACCTGCCTTGCAAGTGTGTGGTTGTGAGTTTGATCCCCGGTACCGACAAAAAGACAAAAAAAAAAAAAAAAGAATAATGCTCCTTGTTTTACAATTAACCTTTACATCATTTGTTTTGACCTCTAAGATTATCCTGAGTAATACCAGAATGATCTTGATAGACAATATATTTATCTACAGATTGAAATCCCTCTCTTTTACTCTTCCGACAAAACATGGGCTCCTCTCAGGGATTCTATATTGGAAGAAAATGGACCTGGCTATCATTCTTATTTCCTTTTCAAGGTAGTAAAGACAAGTAGCTATCTGGCCTGGACAGTAGCGAAACAGGAAAGAAAGATCAGTTTAAACACTGTTCTTTAGGTCACAACAAAAGCTTTCTAAAACAGAAAACCTGTGTTCTGGGGAGTATTGTGCATTTGTTTAGTCATTAGATGCAAGAAGTTTCTACCAGCCAAAGGACTTTCTAGCCCAAGCCCAAGTAGGAAGGCAGAATAACAATTGTTTGAGTCTATAACTCACTGTTGTCCAGTGTGATGAGGAAGATTCTTTGGATCATGTGATTGATGTTGAGTTGCTCACATATTTCTTGCTGTGACCGGAATGAACGGCTGATCTCAGCCACAGAGTAATCAAATTCGTCCAGGCTCTCTGACACACTATTATCGGAGTCATCTGGGCTTGCTGGGAGTTCATCTGTTGGGACATGTATGCTATTAAACATTGTACCCTAAAGAGAAACAAGTATACTACCAAGAGTGATATATGTAACTAAGACGAAGATAATTTTGGATGTGAAACAAGTTAATCACCTAATTAGTAAACATCTCAAGTAAGGCAAGGTAAGTATAGGTTCTGAAATCCCTCGCTATAAATCTTTCCTTTCTTTTTTGCTTTGGTGATGCTGGGGATTGAACCGAGGACCTTGTGCATGCAGGGCAAGAACTCTACCACTGAGCCACATCCCCAGCCCCCTTGCCATAAATCTTACCACACTGCATTAAGCAAAGCGTCATTATTTATACCTGTGATTTTACTACGTTACTTTGCCTACCAAATCCTAGTGAATGAGGAATTGCTTAATAGGTCAAAATGCCTATAATCATTTTAAATGTATGGCTTTTTCCTGGGAACACATTTATCTTCATAATTCCAAACTGTAAAGGAAAACATAGAAAGTCTCCTTTGAACTAATTTCCTACAGAGAACCAGACAATGCTCCAGATCTCCACTGCCCTAAGTTCTGGTACCAATGTTCATTACCACAATTTTTCATTAAAAAGGAGAGAGGATCATATTATACACAACACCTTTCAATTGCTGGCTTTTTTTCCTATTTTTTTTTTTTTTTTTGTCTTTGTCTTTTTCCTTTTTATCGATACCGGGGATCGAACTCACGACTGCCTGCTTGCAAGGCAGGCACTTATGCCGCTGAGCTAAATCTCCAGCCCCAACCACTTTTTTAAAAATTCATTCCTTGACTGATGGCATTTGGGTTGTTTCCTTCTGTTACAAATTGTGCTGCTGTAAACATGGGTGCACATATATCACTGTGGTATGATGCTTTTAACTTTTCTGGGAAAATACCCAGAGGTAGAATGGGTGAAATGGGTTTTTGAGGAATCTCCACAGTGATTTCTACAGTGGTTGCACCAGCCTATAGGGTGAAGGGTGACTTTTTCCCTATAGGGCCTGCAGCTTTGTTAGTGGTTGATTTCTGGATGACAGCCATTCTTACTGGGGTGAGATGGGATCTCAGCTTTGTTTAATTTGCTTGGAGGACCAAAGACTTCCTCGGCACCAATACCTTTCCCTAGTAGGTCACAGAAGCCTATTTCATTCCTCTGAAGAGCTGCATTTCGTCGCACGTTCTGCATGCACTACCATTTATGTAGTTACTTAAACTCCAAGTTTAGTCAACTGATGAATATCAGGGATGTTTCCAACTTTTTGTGATTTTAAATAACACTGCACATGCCTGGCAAGCACCAGGTCGTGAATTCGATTCCTAGTACCAGCAACAACAAAAAATAACATGATACATTTCTTGTGTCTTTGTTTGCAAGAGCATTTTTCTAGGATTAATTCACAGGTGTAGAGTTACTGGTTCAGAGCTTGAACACTAAAAAAGTTAACGTACTAACAATTTGCCTTTGAGACAAATTGCTCTAACATGCCTACCCACTAGTATATGAGAGTATGTGTTTAAATTTTCAAAAATTTCACAGGTAAAAAAATGACTGGTTGGGGCCAGGGATATAGCTTAGCAGCACAGTGTCTGCCTGGAAAGCAGAAGGTTCTGAGATTGATTCCTGGTACCAAACAAACACAAAACTGACTGGTTTATTGTTTTGATTGCCATTTCTCTAATGATTAGTCAAAACAGATTTTTTTTCATCATTTGATTATATACAAATTGTTTGTCATATCTTCCCCCCCTGCTTTCTCATTAGCTGAATCCCTTTAATTTTCTATAAAACAACTTAAGAGTGCCTCTCAGAATGTAAAAGGCTATAAATATAGTGCTATGACCTGGAATGATGGTGCATGCCTATAATTCCAACACATGGGGAGGCCAGGTCAGGATTTCAAGTTCTAACCCAACTAGGGTAGTTTAGAGATTAATGTAATGCTGTCTCTAAAAAGGAACAAAAAAGCTGGGATTGTAGCTCAGTGCAAAGGCCCTAGGTTCAATCTCTAGTACTGCAAAAACAAAAAACAAAACAAAAACCCCACAAAAAAAAAGGCATGCCACATGCTATAATTGTAATTCAGGGGTAGAGCCCTTATTTAGCATGTATGAGGCCCTGGATCCAATTTCCAGTACCATAAACAAAAGCAATATTATTGATTGAAAATCTTGCATGAGCCTAAAACTGCTTTTCTTATCAGACTGGTTCTTCTTAAAGTCCTGGAAAAACTCTCAGAAGTGAGAGTTGCTTCAGTATAGGGAGTTTCATGAAAGTGAAGCTCAATACAGGAGGCAAAGGTTTTGGCAGAGTAATTCTGGCGGCAGACAGGTTGGACTTGTAGCATGACAAACTCAGTGTCAACAAAGTACGATGATGAGGTGCCAAAGGAGCAACAGAAGGGCATGTGCCAGCCTCGTTCCCACTGCCTGGTGCCCGTGACCTGCTGCTCCAGTCGGCCTGTTTACAGCGTGTTGAAAAGTCAGCACTGCACTTAATCCGTGCCATGCTCTATCTGTTACTCTGCCTCCTGCTCATCTGCCTTGATTTTTCTTTTTTCTTTAATCTGTTTTGACTTTAACAATTTGTATTCAATCCTAATCACAAAGAAAAACCACAATTCACCTATGTACCTTAACTTTTATTTTTTTTAAATAAAGGGAAAATTTATACATTTCTTCCTTTCTTTTTGGGGTTCCAAGGATTGAATCATGAACTCACATTTGCCAGGCAGGTGCTTATGTCTCCTTTTCTTAAAAGAAAAACACTTGTTCTTTTTGGGAAGGAGGAAAAAGGAGAACACATTCTTCTTTGAAAGAATGCAAATGTTAATACATTAGAAAAATATCGTCAGTCTTGTGGTCTATGCCTTCTGCTAGAAGAAGTTGGGCTAGATCTTAAATCTGGTCCTGACTGAGAAAAACCTTGTTTTCTGGTTAGCTGAGAGATGGTTTTGATTTTTTTTCACTTCAAAGCTAAATAGTAGATTTTTCTTAGAAGTCTGTCCTAGCAGCAGTAAGCTACAGTTGAGGTCACTCAACAGAATGGAAGCAGCACTCCACTTGCGAGCCTTCTTAAGGGCTAAATTTAAGACGAATGTCTTTTTTCTACAGCTCAAAAAATGTTTATAGCTCTTTCTTTTACATGTGCGTATAACTTGTTTCCACACCTTCACTCACTACCTTGGTTTCCTAGGTTAAAGATTCGTTTTAAAAGCTTTACTGGGTGATCATGTGACGACAGCTTTGGGATCGCAATGGACATCTGTTCCTATGGAACCACCTGTTATCTGGCTTCTTTTCATGCAAGTGAGAAGACGGGAGGGGGAAGGCCCGCAAACAGAAACTACTGCCACCACCAAGCAAACAAAAAGGCTCTTGGCCCAAACAAACAAAAACCAAATTCGGCTCCATACTTAAATTCCAATTGTAATTAGGTACCTGAACAATACTTACTTGGGAAAGACCCCATGCCAAGGCCATGTCATCTGCTGCTCCTGGCTCCCCTACTTACCAGATTGCTGCTTCAGCTGCTCTTTTTGGATTGCTGCAAACTGTTTGGCATCAGCCAGGGAGCCAAAAAGAGCAGCAAAGGGGTTACTTGAGATGTTGTTGTTATTTTCCTGGTCTGTCATTTCACTTTAAGGTATCCTCCATCCAGACCTAGGGGTGGGGCTGTGCAAAGGGCAGGTATTAGAAGAGCAGGTAACACAACAGCTGTAATGTACCCACGCTTGTTTCTTTTCCCACCACTTAACACAACACATTTGAGACTTTGGGTTAACATTTGCCAAATCCAGTTTCAAAACTCAAAGATTTTTGGCAAGATGGTTACAAACCTACCAACTGGCCATGATGGCCTGACTTGGGGACAGCTAAAACCAAAATACCTAAATCATGCTCAAACTGAATGCATTTATCTGTTGCTATGTTCCTATCCCCGGTACAAAAAAAAAAAAAAAAAAAAAAAGAGAGAGAGAGAGAGAGAGAGAGAGAGAAAAGAGAAAAAGAAAACAGGGTAAACAGAATTACTAATACTGGGTGTGATAGCGCATGCCTGTCATCCCAGCAGTCAGAGGACTGCCACAAGTTCAAGAACACACTAGGCCACACAGTGAGACCAAGGCCAACCTGAATGACAGAGTAAGACCCTGTCTCAAAAAAAGAAAGCAAGCAAGAAAGAAAACAAAGAAAAGAAATTACTGACAAAGAGAGAATTCCTTAATAATTATAAGGATGACAAGGCACTTAGGAAATAAGCCAAGAACTATGGATTTCACATAAGTCTCCAAGCTGCCAACCTAGTTCTCATTCACTGTGGGGAGGACAAAGTGGTACTGACTCAAGACTCCTATGACTTAGGGTTGAAGCTAGGAATTCCTCACCATATAGAAACGCACAGATTTGGAATGGTAAATCAGAGCTGGAACCTGATCAGCTGTATATTCTGGATCTTTAATGTATATTAAGCAAACTCTTTCATTCTCTCTCTCTCTCTCTTGTCTTTTTGAGGCAGGGTCTCACTGTGTGGTTCAGGCTGGCCTTGGGCTCACTTTGTAGCCCAGGCTGGTCTCGAAAAGGAATGATCCACCTGCCTCAACCTCCCAAGTGCTGGGATTACAGGAGTGTGCCATTACACCCGGCAATCTATATTTATAGACTTAAAACTATTGACATTTGTTCAACTAAAATCTGAAGTCTTTACTTAATTTTACATGTAAATTTCTGATTTCTTACAATACTGAAGAAATAAAAATTTCTTCATTTAACATAACCCCAAAGAATAACCCCATTTCTTGATTTAACATAACCCCAAAGAATATCAATTCCAACTGTTAAGCATAATGTGTAACCCAGTGACAGATACATACTTGAAAGATATTTAGAAGCTGTCAGAGCCTGCATTTGACTCTTACACTTCATTCAAAGTCCAGTGAACTCAGTGGTACAATGGGATGAGAAAAGCTCCTGGAAAGGCTTTCTTCCCTTTGTAAAAGACTAAGGCTACAGGATAAAAATTCAACCCTGAAAAGGGTCTGCAGAGACACAGAGCAAGAACATTCTGCTTAGGAGGATCCTGAACTGCTATAGGGCCTTAGAAAGAGTATGAACAGGGGTTTAAAAAAGAAAAGAAAAAGACCATGTGGCCTACATTTAGTTTATAAGGTAAGATTCTTTATGGAATTGTATTTTAAAAACTAATGCAAATAAAAAAATTACCCTTAATAAAAAAGTTCATCTTCACAGCATGAAGAGTTTATAATGCTTAATAATTTTCAGGCATCTCCACCAGCTGCTCCACGTGTGCCGTTTTTCTGCATAAGAGCTAAGGGCTAATTAACTGTAACAACTTAGGTACAAAGCCTGGTATCCTTCTCAGCACGGAAGGGGCTTCAACAGACTGAACTGTTAGATCTTGCTCTATTTTATTTTTTGCTATGTCTAATTTAGTCAAGCTTAATTGCAGAAAAAATATCAGAGTTAGTTTTGGAACTGACGAGGAACCTTAAGAAGACTGTAATCATTATGCAAGCTTAATCATCATCTCTAATTCATTTGGAGACACCCTGAATTGTCTGTTACTTGATTACCACCATTTCTCTAATCCTGAGGTACCATGAATTCCAGAGGAATGCAAAAAGTGTAATGAGCTCTTATTTTTTGTCTCCAAAATGCCATCCTCTTTTTTCAGCATGACATGCTCAATTTTTCTTCTGGGTATTAGTTTCATAAATTAATTCTATGTATTCAGAAAGGGTTCAGCTCACCCACCAGGTCCAGGAATAGGCATATGAATCGGGTCTTTTGCAAGAAAATAGTATTTTCTGGCCAACTCAAGATTGGACACAAGATACTAGCATGGCCTACCGGAGTCAGTGAACACTAGCTTCAGGATTTTAGCTGAGCTTACAGAAAAGGGAATTCTTTTTGTCTAATTGGTTTGGTAGGTTGGTAAGCTATAAAGCTCGAGTTCTGCACCATCTAGAAAAAGTCTACCTTGACACTAAGCTAACACACAGGGGAAAAAAAAAAAGAGTGAAAGATGGGATAGAAAAAGTCTTTCAGACTTTTCAGTTATAGAAGTCAGTAAGTACCCCCTTCAATTGCATAAATCAGTTTGAATTTTTAAAAACACAACTGAAGAGTCCAGATGATTACCAAGAAATACATCACCTGCACCACATACGCAGAGAAAGATGAAACTCATGTATATAGTATACTTGACAGACTCTTAAGATTATCAAGAGACATAAGATTTATTATCATAGGTGATATTATTTCTTTCTTCTGTAATATTGTTATTATACCACTAGGCAAAGAAGCTAACTTATTATATTTTATCTGTATTTTTACTGGGGTTTACAATTTTCTATAATATATATATATATATATATATTACCCCTCTCTTATAACCAGTAGCATTATCCATGATCTTACTCGAAGGTAGGGGCTACATCCCACATGCCTTGGGATGTAGTTAAAGGTAAGACCACCAGGTGAGACACCACTGTTCCTTGGAATCTAAAGTGTGTGTTGACTATAGAATGGAATTCAATCTGTTGTCATCTCAAATGTCTGTTAAAAACACAAAGACTTTACTAAACTCAATACACAGTGGCTGGAGATTTAGCTCAGCAGCATAAGCATCTGCCTTGTAAGTGCGCCACTGTGAGTTTGATCCCCGGTACCGATTAAAAAAAAATACACACACAAACTCTTCATGAAAAATAAAAGGCTCAGGCCAGGTGCGGTGAGGCATCTGTGTAATTCTAGTACTTGGGAGGCTGAGGCAGGAGGACTGCCCTGAATTTGAGATCAACTGATGCTACAAAGTGAGTTTAAGGACAGCTTATACTACAAAGTGAGACCCTGTCTCAAACAAACAAACAAACCTAAACCTCAACTATGTAATAATACGAGGACTGATCACTTAATGAGAACATATACAGAGATGCCAGCTTAGGTTTATTCAATTAAGTTACATATATAAGTAAGAGTACCTAGATATCACCTATTCTTAAAAGAAATAATAAAATGGGGCCAGGGTTTAAGCAGGCTCAGTGCTTTAAGTGCCTGCCTGGCAAACACTATGTGGTGAGTCTGATCCCTTGGTACAAAATAAGAAGAAGAAAATGGAACTTTGATATTTTGTTTAGTATTCAGCAATGTCCTTTTCATTATTTATTTTTAGTACTGAGTACTGAACCAGGGCCATTGCACTGTGCTAATTCCAGTCCTTTTTAAATCCTGAGACAGGGTCTCACTAAATTGTCCATGTTGAACTTGAACTTGTGATTCTCCTGTTGCAGCTTCTCAGAGTACTAAGATTACATGTTTTGTTTTGTTTAAAGCCAGGGTTTTGATATGTAGGTCAGGCTGGCCCTGAACTCACTAGTATAGCCTATGTTGTTCTCAAACTCAAGGCGATATTCCTATCTTAGTCACTCATATGCTACGATTATATGGAGGCACACATGCAATGCTAGAATTACAGGTATAACCATCAAACCTGGCTAGCAGTGTTCTTTTTTTTTTTTTCCTTTTTCTTTTTGGAGACAGGGCCATACTATGTAATTCAGGTTGGCTTTGAATGTGCTATGCTGCCCAGATGGTCCTGAACTTGCAGTGATCCTCTTTTGAGCTAGGATTACAGGCATGTGCCACCATGTCCAGCACGATGTCTTTTTTTTTTTTAAATGGTAAAAGCTTTTAATAACATTGAATGTGATTTCATAGGCAACCAATTAGCAGATGAAACATTTAACTTTACTTAAAACCAATATTCCACTGAAGAAAGGTGAACTCCAAACGCATCCTCTTATACTGACCAACATAACTAAGTACAAATGAAGTCAGTGGTGTACCCCATTAGCATGCTGTGCTGTATGTCAATAAAACAAGCCCTCCCCTACCCTGAACCCTGGCCCCTGGCAAACATAGATAAATGATTGTGCACTGCAAGAGCACAATGTCTTATTTTAAATCTCTTCAGCTGGGTGTGGTAGTGCACAACTGTAATCCCAGCATTCAGGGAACTCAGGCAAGATGATCATTGTCAATTTCAAGCCAGTTTGGGCTACATAGTGAGTTCAAAGCCAGCCTGAACTACATAGTGAAAACTTGTCTCAAAAAACAAAAAAGCTTCTTCATTTCAACTGTAATGCAGATATAACCCTATCCTTTTAACAGTCTTTGGGATGGTACAACCACCAATCCTTAAGACTTTTTTGGGTTGGATTAAAAAAAAAAAGTCCTCCTTCAAAACAACTGTATACCCACTGCCAGGGCAAATGTCTGTAAAGCGCTGTCTATATCTGGCCCTACAAAATTCTCTCATTGTTTCCTGATGTAAGTTTTTGCCTATGAATAATACTGCTAATTTTTAAAGGCCACTGTCAGCTTTTTCGAGCAAATATTTTAACATCAGACCTGTCAGTGTTTTAAGATAGAAATGTTAGCTGTGTGAGGTAGTGCACACCTGTGATTCCAGAACTCAAGAGGCCTAGGCAACAGGATTGCCAACAAATTCAAGGCCAGCCTGAGTTAATGGCTTGCCTGAACTACATAGAAAGACCCCATCTGAAAAAAAAATTTTTTTGAAAACCTGTAAAACTGGCATTGTTAAAATCAAGCTCTGTGCGTATCTCAGTAACAGCACTAGCACACGTAAGATTTTGTGCTCAGTCTCCAGTATTACACACACATACATGTAAATAAATAAATAAAGTATACCAAGCTGTATTCAATCACACTCTATAAGGTGTCTGTCCTGGTAATACATGCATCAAATTAAGACAGGCATTTTAAAAATGCTTTCAGTGTAACATATTTCACCCAGTAACACGTTCAGGCCATGCAAAGGCAGCAACAAATCCTTTCAATACATCTAGGACTTCATCAAGTTAAAAAAGCAGGCAGCATTCTTTCTTGTGTCTCATTTTATCTCAGATGGGTGCCCCTGGGGGATCAAAATGGTCAAGGTCAGTGACAACAGACACTCTTGCTCTGGGAGCAAGAAACGGACCCCTAGGGAAACACTCATTAAATTTAAGCTCTTGAATTGCAGTCACTGAATTTTAAAAGTGTCTTATAAATTTAAGAACATGATGCAGACAGCCAAGAGTTATGAGTGATGAGCCCATTACTTGGCTCAAGAAATGTCAACATCTTGCCATATACACTCAACTGGTTTGATTACTATGCATAATTTAACTTCCTGGCACCTAGCTACCTGTCGTCTACTCTGTATATTTCAGTGCGCCCAGATTCCATAAGGATCCGTGGGAAGGAGGGAGACGCACCTCCTCGATTCAAGTTAAAAGCAAGGAAGTCAAAAGGTAAGGTCAGTATTCTAGCCTTTTTCTGAAGGAACACAGGCAAGCGGGGAAGACAAATGTAGACACGAGAAACTGGAGTACTTGTAAGGGTTTCCAAATCAGGCAGGGTCGAAATTCGTGAAGGAGAGGGTCTCTGTCAGGAAAGCACAGGAGAACGAATTCGGAGGAGGCAAGTGTGCAGAGGACTGGACTGACATTCGATTAGGAGAAAAATCCCCACTTCCGACTCAACAATCCTCTTTCCTCAGACTACCTCCTCTCTTACCAGGGCCTGAAGGGCCAGCAGCGACGACACGACAGTCTCAGGGGCCAAAGGGTTCCCACTTCCGACTCAGCACGGCAACCGGAGCTGACGTCATCACTCAGCGGCAGGGCTGGTAGACTCTCACCTCTGCGCCGGAAGCAGGCTGTGAGCAACCTGAGGAGCAAATAGCAGGCAAACACCGGCAAGGCGCATGCGCAAGTTAGCAGCAGTCGGCTGGGGGCGGAGCGGAAGTGGCTTTGGGATCCAGATAGCGGTAGGCGATTGGGTGGGAGGCTAGAGTGGTTTGGACGTTGGAAATATGTTTGGAGTGGAGGTACAACTTTTTGAGCCCCAGCTCCGCTAGCGACCTCTGTGGCCTTCTGAGTTTTAACTTTTTTGCAGGTCTGTCCATTTCTGAAGCTGTTTCTGTTACTTTTTATAGATTTTATTTTTAAATTTTCATCTTTTTGAGACAGTTTCAATGTGTGGGCAGGCCTTGAATATCATTTTGTAGACCTGGCCTTGAATTATGCCTCAGCTTCCCAAGTGTCGAAATTACAGGCGTGTACCACTACACGCAGCCTCTTTTCATAAGATTTTTAAGAAATATTTCTGAAAAAAAAAAAAAAAACCAGACAAAACACACACACAAAACTATTTCTAAGCAGTAACAAAACCAGTGGTAACAAGTAAAAGTTTTGAGTACCTGTTATGTGCCAGGCAGTGTGCTAGTTTATCAGTACATATGTGTAGTTCACGTTTACATTCCTGTGGGAAGTTGGTGCCTTTCCATAACATATCTTAACTCCTCCATCGTCCCCTTGTCTTGATTCCTTTCCCTTTGCTTTGTAGTTTGCAATACATAATGTTTACATTCCTTCTGTACAGGCAATGCATGTACACAACAGACCCAATTCCTTTGTTTTCAACCCCTATCCCTCCCTTTTTCTCCTTCCATCTTAGTCTTCTTCCTTTTTGAGAATGATCATCCTACTTCCAATTACCTATCTTTTATTTTGCTCTCTTTTTACTCTGGGTTTCTCATATGAAAGAAACCATGTAATATTTAAATTGTGTGTCTGATTTATTTCACTGAACAAGGTCTCAAGAGAGAGACAGATAACACACAGAAAGAGTGCCTTTCTGTCCCTTATGTTGTATGCAGGCTACCACCCTTAGGGCAGGTGTAGCGCTCACCACACCCTTAATCCCAGCGTGCTTAATCCCAAAATTGCTCTATGAATCAATCACTCTAGATCCAGCTACCTCCAAAAAGCCCTATGACTTCATGAGGCTTTGGGAAAACATCTAGACACAAACCATAAAATTTTCCTGAAACATAATCTGTTTAGAGTGGAGTGATGACAGCATTGAAGATTAACAGAGTGGTTGAGGGTGTAGCTTGGTGGCTGAGAATTTGCCTAACGTGCATTTGGTCCTGGTGATATATGGGATAAACTCCCAACCCCATGTCTGGTACAATTTTGTGTTCCCTAAAATCAAAGAATGAATTTTAGGAACAGAGTATATTTGTTGAGAGAAAGAAAGCTTCTGTCTGGGAGAGAGACAGAAGAGGTCCTGAGGGGGTTGCCAAAGACTCTGTCTTTTCTAGGGACTTTTATTAGAGCAAAACCATGAGGTGAGATGGGTCCAAGGTGAGGAAAACTGGGAACTCATAAGGCAAGTGAGCGTGAGGGGGGACGGAAATATAGTCAATCAATATGATTAATTGTTCAGGTAAAATTGACCACATCAGGGACAAATGGGGAATCCAGTCATTTAGCAAGCGGGCATGCTTAAAGAGCAGTGGCTTTCTGTAGGGCGTTGGGATGGTGACTTCTGGCTTCCTCAAGGTGATCCATAACTATTTAGAATATCAATCCCTGATGTTTATTTTTAGGGTGTGGTTGCATTTGTTTTGTATCTTGTCTTGAGACCTGGCCCACAGCAGGACGTGTCTGTCTCTTCCAATGTTGCAAGATATCTGGCCTTCTGTATTGGCCTCTTTGAGGTCCCAGCCCAGTCTGACTTCCTGTAATATTTCTTACTAACTCAGCTGCCTGTCACACTGGCTTCAGTACTCAGTGCGTGTACATGCGTGTACACACACACACACACACACACACACACACACATCATTCAATAAATATTTCTGGAATAGCTGGGCAACCATCTTGTTTATTTCATTTTATTTTTATTTTTGAGACAGGATCTCTCTAAGCAGTCCATGCTGACCTTGGGCTCACTTTGTAGCCCAGGCTGGTCTCAAACTTACAAACAGTTCTCCTGCCTCAGCCTCCCAAGTGCTGGGATTACAGGAGTGCACCGCTACACTCAGCAGACCATCTTGTTTAGAAAGCTGGTCAAAGGTGGGGGATATAGCTCAGTGGTGCAGCATCTGCTTGGCAAGTGTGAGGTCCCGAGTTCAATTCCCAGTACCGTTCCCCCCCCAATTAGTCTGTTAGACCTTACATTAAAATTAATTCATGAAAGATCAAAGACTGAAATGTATAAAATGAAATCAAGAGAATGCTAATGGTTAATGAGAGAAATTTTTAAAAAAAGATTAATCATTAAAAAGAGATTAATCTTTAAATTAGGGAGGGTGTTTCTAAATGTGAAACAGATAAGACCAGTAAATTCTGCTACAGGCATATATTTGAAAAATATGCATGCAAAATCAACCATGAACAAAATGAAAAACCAAACATAAAAAAATCAGAAAAATACATCTAGTTGCTCAAATATGTAAGGGGCTAGAGCAAGTCAATAAGGAAAAACAAAACAAACAAATTCCCCAACATACCTGCATTTCATGAGAAGCTAAAACAAATGGTCCACTGCAAGATTTAAAAAGAAAAATATAAAAAACACACTGGGATGCCATTTTAACTTAGGTTGGCGGGCTAGAGATTTAGCTCAGTGGCATAAGCACCTGCATGGTGAGTATGAGGTCATGAGTTTGATACCTGGCACTGAAAAAACAAAACACCCACTTAGATTGGTACAGACTTTTTGCTTATTTTTTTTTGTCTTTTTCGTTTTTATCGGTACCAGGGATCAAACTCATGACTGCCTGCTTGCAAGGCAGGCGCTTATGCCGCTGAGCTAAATCTCCAGTCCCATAGATTGGTACAGATTTTTAAAAATTCTATTTAAAAACATTTTTATTTTATTTTGGTACCAGGGATCAAACACATGACCTCACGCTTGTCAGGCAGGTGCTTATACCACTAAACTAAATCCTCAGCCCAAGATTGTTTCAGCTTTAAAATTTAAGAACACAGCCTGGGCTTGGGGGTACATGCCTGTAATCCTAGCATTTGGGAGGTTGAGGTGAGGACAGCTGAGACTCCACAGTGAGTTTGAGGCCAGGGTCTTTATAGTGAGACTCTGTCTTAAAAACAAAGTAAAAACAACATTGAAAGGGTTTTGGCCCAGACAGGACACTGTAGCCAGGAAAGCCTCAACCGGAAGCAGGAAGCCCCTATCTCCCCCGCCCCTAGGAATTTACCTGTGACGCCATCTTTCCGCCCCTGGGAATTTACCTATGGTGCAAAACCTAGGGCCAATGGGCTACCTGTGCATCCCTAATGCCCGCCTTAGGTTCCACCCCAAACCGAGGCTACTTACATACCCGCATGCCATGTGTCTGCCAGAGAGTTCGCTGGATGCCAGCAGTGGGGGTGCTGGTCATCTCTCTCCGTGTTCTCAGAATAAAGGCTGCTTTTTGTTTGATACTTCTCATCTTTTGGAAATATTTTTCATCTTTTAGAAATAATCCTATCATTTGGTGCAGTGACTCGGTCAGCAGGTGATTGACTCCTGGAACACACCCAGTTGAGTCCCTGGCTGATAACATCCTGGATTAATTCCGTGCTTTTTCCTCTCCCGAGACGTCCTTGTTGCCAGCCGCCTGCACTCACCATCAGCCAGATAGATTTCAGGTGGGCATTCCCTGGGGAACTTTTGGTACTGGGCAGCTCCAGTCGACTGTTCTCCCCGTTCGCATGGGTCTGTGCATTTTCACGTCCTTAGGACAGCCCAGGGCAGGGTTCTTTCTGGGCTAACCTGTGTCCGCACTCTATAAAATCTCTCACATTCTTTGGGTTCGGATAGCCCAAAGCAGAGATTTTTGGACTGCCCACACTGAAAGGACTGCCTCACTTCACTTAAAGCCTCGTGCTTTCACGGGCAAAACTGTTACTGACCCCATGTGGGCTCCACTCGTAAATCTCTCAGTGACGACTGGAATGTACGAGTTTTTGGAACCGTAGCTGCTGTGTGGTGCCACAAACGAGTGACGGCTTGTTCTGGACCACTGGCTTATTTCTTGCCTGAATCAGTCATGGGAAACGTATTTTCTAACTCCCAAAATATGCCTTTACAATGCCTAATTTCTAATTTATGTACTCTAAAAATTAAAAGTACCATAAAAACTAAACAATTAACTTTTTACTGCAAGGAGGTCTGGCCAACCTATCCTCTTATCAGCAAGCGTTGGCCTAAAGAAGGAACATTTGACCCCTGCATTCTCAGGAATTTGTATGATTTCTGTCAGGCCAGCGACAAGTTATTAGAACTCCCTTATATTCAGGCCTTTCTTGTTCTGAGAACACGCCAGTCTCTCATTAAGTCTTGTGCTCCTGCTGAGATACTTTTAGCTAACTCTACCACACTGCAAACTTTTCCATCCTGCCCTCAGGGTTCGCTTGAGGACGTTCCTCCAGTGTTTTCCCGGCCGCTGCCTGCCTACCCCCAAAATCGTTCTCTGCCGTTACCTCCCGCCGGACCACTCTCCCCTCACCCTATGCCTGATTCTCTCAGCAGTCCTGGTCCCAATGCATTGCAGATACCTCCCGCTGTGCAATCGTCTCCCTCTCCACCTTCCAGGACCCATAACTCTCCCAGCAACTCTAATCCCTCTGTTAGCGCTTCCTCGCAGTCTCCAACTTCTTGTTCTCCTGAGAATTCTCTATCTGCTACAGCTTTCTCACCACCTGCCCACCATAATAGGTCTCGGTTGCCATGTCCTTCTAGCAGACCACATGATTGTTCCAGCTTGCACTGGGAATAGTCGCCATGTTGCAACACTCTGCCACGTGGCATGGTGCCACCATGTTCAGGAGGGTCACATGGTGACAGGGCGCCGCCATGTTTGGGGCCACATGACAGGGT